TATGAAAATCACCTCATTTGCCCAATGTTTTCTATGGTTTTTAAGCATTGTTCTGCAGCAGTCTGCAGAATTCTGTGCAGAATTGCCTGGAATCAGGTTGCAAGTGAAAACACCCACTTCTACTTGGGAAAATGAGTTGATTTTCATAGGGGACCCTCATCACACCTATTCCAGACTACCCTATGAAAATCACCTCATTTGCCCAAGGTTTGGTATGGTTTTTTAAGCCTTGTTCTGCAGCAGTCTGCAGAATTCTGTGCAGAATTCCCTGGAATCAGGTTGCAAGTGAAAACAACCACTTCTCCTTGGGCAAATGAGTTTATTTTCATGGGGGACCCTCATCAAATCTATTCCAGACTACCCTATGAAAATCAACTCATTTTCCCAAGGTTTGCTATGGTTTTTAAGCATTGTTCTGCAGCTGTCTGCAGAATTCTGTGCAGAATTCCCTGGAATCAGGTTGCAAGTGAAAACACCCACTTCTCCATGGGCAAATGAGTTGATTTTCATAGGGCACCCTCATCACACCTATTCCAGATTCCCCTCTGGAAATCACCTCATTTGCCCAAGGTTTGCTATGGTTTTTAAACCTTGTTCTGCAGCAGTCTGCAGAATTCTGTGCAGAATTCCCTGGAATCAGGTTGCAAGTGAAAACAACCACTTCTCCTTGGGCAAATGAGTTGATTTTCATAGGGGACCCTCATCACATCTATTCCAGACTACCCTATGAAAATCAACTCATTTGCCCAAGGTTTGCTATGGTATTTAAGCCTTGTTCTGCAGCAGTCTGCAGAATTCTGTGCAGAATTCCCTGGAATCAGGTTGCAAGTGAAATCACCCACTTCTCCTTGGGCAAATGAGTTGATTTTCATAGGGGTGCCTCATCACACCTATTCCAGAGCTCCCTATCATTTTCTCTTTTTAAAACGATTGTTTTGGTGTGCTTTCCTACCTTGTTCTGAAGGGGGGTGTCGAATTTTGATGGCTGAATTGCAAGCTCTTTATTGTTGAGAACATGGGTTTTTGACTTTCCAAACCAGACTGCCAGATTAGGGTTCATACTGACAACCTGAGGTACGCTATGGTGATGCATGTTTTTTTTTTGTGTTAATCACTTCGATACTTGTGGCAATTATTGTTAACTGCATTGTTTTTGAAACACAAATTTCAACCAGACACGGTAAGCGAAACACTCCATAGTGCGCTCTCGGCCTGCACAGTGAGTGGCTAAAATATGTTGCATAGTGGCTCTCTGCACATTGGCGTCGAATTTGTCGACGGGATACATGCAGAGCGCTCGTTTCTACGTGGCAACCTCGGGACAGCCTGTCACACGTCCGGGTCAGGTTTTGTTTTTTTCAGGGTCAGACCGTGTAGTGATATACGTGGCCGCAACACAATTGCGACGAAATGTACGTTGGCAGACGATCTGTTCATGCATGACTTGCAGATAAGGTTGACAACACAGCGTGCGTGATTGGTGGATAAACATTCTGGAATTCCTTCAGCAATGGGAGTCAGAAAGATACCTCTGCACGCAGCATTTTTTGGTAGAAGAACATTCTGGAAACCTACGTGGCAGCATTTCTGCCGTTATATTCGCAGAAATTAAAATTGGCGCGCAGATCTGCATGCGGAATCCAGCGTTGCAGTTCAAGGTGTAAGTGATGTTGATCACGTGCGAGGAAACTAAGCGTGCCTCGCACCAGCGGCCCACAAACCGTAGTTTAACGTTTCGTACCGAGAAGCGGGGAAGGCGAGTGGTGCAGATGGGGGGTGAGGGTTGTTTCACGCTCTGGAGTCCATTTCGCTGCACATTCTTGGCATTCTCTTCAGATTCACCTTTCTACTCCAATCTTATACCCAGAGTTAGCTCTCGTATCGTTGCGTAGGTCAGCGACCGTGTTTGACGCCTATTCCTTGAGATTCTGCAGTAGTATAGCTGACACTCTAGCATTTGCGCGGATTTCAAATATAGGCTAGCCATGCGCATAGTACTGACTTCAGAGGGGTGTGGCGTGCGTGTACGACTCGGAAAGGCATCTTACGTCAGCCTGTGCCGCGGCAGTGGGAGAAGGAGCACCAAGGGTTTCGGAAGTATCTTACTCCCGGAGATCCAGAGCCCCTGGTCCGGGAGAATGGTCCGCCCTAGTAGATGAACGGGCGAATAGGGGAGGCCGTCAGCTCAGGTTTTCGGAACGTGTTAGGAGGTCTGCTCGTCGCGACACGGAGACGCAGAGAGAAGGGGTGGGGACGTTGGCTGGAAACTTGCAGACGGACCTGGCGGGGGGATTGGAGGAAGGCGAGGAGGGTGTAGAAGATCCGCAGCAACCAGGAGAGGCGGGTGTAGAAGATCCGCAGCAACCGAATGACACCCGTGATGCTATGGAGCGTGTGGGACGCGGCGCGGCATGTGCAGACGTTGGAGTGGGAGGAGTGGATCTCGCCTGCAATCTTCGGCAGCGGACCGAGAAGGACGTGGGTTTCTTGAAAAGTTGCGCATCAAGGGTAAAGCGGAAGGCGGCCGAAGAGGCACGGAGAGTGGACGTCGACGAGCCAGAGGCGACCGAAGAGGCGCAAAAGAAGGTGGATGATAAGGCGCATAAGAAGAGGGTGGTAGAGTTTCGGGAAGGCGGGGTGGCGGAGGCGAGGATGCTGGCGAATGCAAAGGCGCCGAAAATAGCGGAGGCGGAGGTGCTGCAAAAGGCGAACGCAGAGGCGCGGAGAATCGCGGCGGTGGATAAGCAGAGGAAGAATGATGCAGAAGCACAGAAGGTCGCGGATGCAGGGGCGCAGAATAAGGCGGCGGAGGAGACGCAGAAGCAGGGGCGCCGAAGAAGGGGGATGCTGCGGCGCAGCAAAAGGCAGATGCAGAGACGCAGACGACAGCAGATGCAGAAGCCCATAGGACCGAAGAGGTCGAGGGCCAGACGATTGCAGTTGCAGAGGAGCAGAACATCGCAGAGGAGGCGATGCTGAAGAATCCGGAGGAGGCATCGAAGCTTGCGGAAGAGGAGGGGAAGAGGAAAGAGGCTGCAGATGCATCGAAGAGCGCGGAGGAGGAGGCGAAGAGGAAGGAGGCAGAGGAGGCGTCGAAGATTGCGGAGGTGGAGGCGAAGAGGAAGGAGGTTGCGGAGGCGTCGAAGTTTGCGGAGGAGGAGGCGAAGAGGAAGGAGGCTGCGGAGGAGTGGAAGAGCGCAAAGGAGGAGGCGAAGAGGAAGGAGGCAGAGGAGGCGTCGAAGATTGCGGAGGTGGAGGCGAAGAGGAAGGAGGTTGCGGAGGCGTCGAAGTTTGCGGAGGAGGAGGCGAAGAGGAAGGAGGCTACGGAGGAGTGGAAGAGCGCAAAGGAGGAGGCGAAGAGGAAGGAGGCAGAGGAGGCGTCGAAGATTGCGGAGGTGGAGGCGAAGAGGAAGGAGGTTGCGGAGGCGTCGAAGTTTGCGGAGGAGGAGGCGAAGAGGAAGGAGGCAGAGGAGGCGTCGAAGAGAGCGGAGGTGGAGGCGAAGAGGAAGGAGGTTGCGGAGGCGTCGAAGGCAGCGGAGGAGGAGGCGAAGAGGAAGGAGGCAGAGGAGGCGTCGAAGAGAGCGGAGGTGGAGGCGAAGAGGAAGGAGGTTGCGGAGGCGTCGAAGTTTGCGGAGGAGGAGGCGAAGAGGAAGGAGGCAGAGGAGGCGTCGAAGATTGCGGAGGTGGAGGCGAAGAGGAAGGAGGTTGCGGAGGCGTCGAAGTTTGCGGAGGAGGAGGCGAAGAGGAAGGAGGCAGAGGAGGCGTCGAAGAGAGCGGAGGTGGAGGCGAAGAGGAAGGAGGTTGCGGAGGCGTCGAAGGCAGCGGAGGAGGAGGCGAAGAGGAAGGAGGCAGAGGAGGCGTCGAAGAGAGCGGAGGTGGAGGCGAAGAGGAAGGAGGTTGCGGAGGCGTCGAAGGCAGCGGAGGAGGAGGCGAAGAGGAAGGAGGCAGAGGAGGCGTCGAAGAGAGCGGAGGTGGAGGCGAAGAGGAAGGAGGTTGCGGAGGCGTCGAAGGCAGCGGAGGAGGAGGCGAAGAGGAAGGAGGCAGAGGAGGCGTCGAAGAGAGCGGAGGTGGAGGCGAAGAGGAAGGAGGTTGCGGAGGCGTCGAAGGCAGCGGAGGAGGAGGCGAAGAGGAAGGAGGCAGAGGAGGCGTCGAAGAGAGCGGAGGTGGAGGCGAAGAGGAAGGAGGTTGCGGAGGCGTCGAAGTTTGCGGATGAGGAGGCGAAGAGGAAGGAGGTTGCAGATGCGCAGAAGGCAGCGGAGGAGGAGGCGCAGAAATCCGGGGCTGACGCGAGGATATTGGAGGACCAAGTGATGCAGAGGAGGGCTGACGTGGAGCCGAGGGGGAGGGAGGAGACTCCTGTGAGAGTCATTGAGTCAGAAGCGATGGAGACGGATGAGGTGACAGAGCCGATTCAGACGGGAGCAGATGATCGCATAGGACGTGAAGAACACAGAACAGTTGCCGCTGACACAGGGGAGGAGGGGGTAGATCCGTGGGTGCGGAGGTTTTTGGGAAATACAATGGAGAGGGCACGTAGAGGGGTTGAAGATGGCGTGGCGAGGGTTGCTGTGGAACGTCAAATGCAGAGGGAGCACGAGAGAGAGTTAGAGGAGAGCGGACCTCCAATGCCGATGTGGGTGGAGGTAGAGTGGGCCGAGGCAGAGGCGGCCATTCGGCGGATGCTGCGGCGCACGAGTACGGTCCTGGTTGAACAGGAGGACGGGTTCGTCGAGGAGGAGAGCTGGGACATCACACCAGCAGAGGTCACGCGTCGTCTGACCCTATTAGCGCGAATGATGACACAGACATTCTGTAACTTTACGGCCCGCAACAGGAGTATCATTCGTGACGTCCATGATCTGACTGCCTATTACTGCCGCGACGCCCTCGCCAACTTGGCAGAGGTCCGCCATGGAAACGAAGAACGGCGGCGGGAAGCGCAAACGGCGGCCGAGTTTCGCGAGCAGATCGGTTCCACTCTCTCTACCTTGCAGGCCAGTATGCAAAGCGTTAAAGATCAGGTTCGCCAGTCGGGAGGGGAGTTGAAGGAAGGGATGTTAAGGGAGGGTGTAGAGAGGCTGACAGAGGTTCTGAGACAAGACTCTGAGCAGCGGAAGAGGGAGATACAGCAGGCGGAGGATCGGCGGCAGAAGGAGGAGGCGAAAAGGAAGGAAGCAGAGGCTGCCGAGCGGCTGAAGAAGGAGAAACAGCGGGAGGATGAGCGTAGGCAGAAAGAGGAGGCGAGCAAAAAGGTAGCTGAACAGTCCGAGAAACGGAAGAAGGAGAAACAGCGGGAGGAGGAGCGTCGGCAGAAGGCGACGAGAGAGGGGATGAAGGAGATGACGGAGTTGATGAAGGTGATGAAGGAGATGAAGGCGGGTTTGAAGGAGACTAAGGATGGGATGGTAAAGCAGGTGCTAGAGGGGTTAACAGCGGTTCTGGCAGAGGACTCCGAGCGGCAGAGGATTGAGAGACGGAAGGAGGAAGAGGAGGAAGAGGAGAAGAGGAAGGAAGCAGAGGCCACAGAGCGGCGGAGGAAGAAGAAACAGCTGGACGCAGAGAGGCGGCAGAAGGAGGTGGAGGAGGGAATAAAGGATATGATGGAGGCTGTAAAGGAGATGAAGTCGGGGATGAAGGAGTTGAAGGAGGGGATGCTAACTGAGGTGGAAAAGAGGTTGTCAGTGGTTCTGAGAGTGGACGCCGAGGAGCTGACGAGGGAGAAACATCTGGAGGAGGAGCAGCGGCAAAAGGAGGAGGAGCAGAGTAAGAAGGCAAAGGAGGCCGACCAGCTACAGAGGGAGAAACAGCAAGAGGTGGAGCGGCTACAGAAGGAGGAGGCTGAAAGGAATGAGGTAGATGCGGCCGATCGACAGCAGAGGGAGAAACATCAGGAGATGGAGCGCCTGCAGAAGGAGGATGCGCAGAGGAAGGAGGCAGAGGAGGCAGACCGGCAGCATAGGGAGAAACAACAGGAGATGGAGCGCCTGCAGGAGGATGCGCAGAGGAAGGAGGCAGAGGAGGCAGACAGGCAGCATACGGAAAAAGAGCAGGAGACGGAGCGCCTGCAGAAGGAGGATGCGCAGAGGAAGGAGGCGGAGGAGGCAGACCGGCAGCAGAGGGAGAAACAGCAGGAGAGGGAACGCCAGCAGAAGGAGGATGCGCAGAGGAAGGAGGCAGAGGAGGCCAAGCGGCGGCATAGGGAGGAAAAGCAGGAGATGGAACGCCTGCAGAAGGAGGATGCGCAGAGGAAGGAGGCAGAGGAGGCCGAGCGGCGGCATAGGGAGGAAAAGCAGGAGATGGAACGCCTGCAGAAGGAGGATAAGCAGAGGAAGGAGGCGGAGGAGGCAGACCGGCAGCAGAGGGAGAAACAGTTGGAGATGGAACGCCTGCAGAAGGAGGATGCGCAGAGGAAGGAGGCGGAGGAGGCAGACCGGCAGCAGAGGGAGAAACAGCAGGAGATGGAACGCCTGCAGAAGGAGGATGCGCAGAGGAAGGAGGCAGAGGATGCCGAGCGGGAGCAGAAGCGACGATTGGAGGAGGAACGCGTGCGAGAGCAGCGTCGAGCAGAGAAGAGGGCCAGACTTGCATCCCAGGCGGAAAAGCAGCGGCTTCTGGAGGCAACGGTAAAGGCTATGGCGGAAGAGACGGAACGTTTGGCACGGGAGATGGAGGAGGAGGATTCTACCATGCAGGGGGAGGGGACCGGGGAGGGAGTCGAGGAGGAAATAACAGAGGGCCTGGGGAGGGTGCGGTTGGAAGAGAGCGGGGAGGCGAATGTAGCAGATGGCGTGGCTATTGTTCTCGGACAAAACGTAGAGGTTTCCAGGAGACGGCCTAGGCAGGAGGACAGGGAGCCGGAGGGTCATGCGTCTAAGAGACGGCATGCAGCTGGCATACAGGAGTTGATACCGATTATTCAAGGTGAAGTTAAAGGGGTGAAGATCGACAAGTGTGACAATAGGAGAAACGCCCAAGTGGACGCTTTGGGTAAGACTTTGGGTGTCCAGCTGCCTTTCAGGGGAAGCGGGTTCTCCCAACGAGGCGAGGGAGCACTGAAGAAGTGGACGTCGGAGCAGACCGTCGGCGGGAGGAAGCGGAACCTCGGCTCCCACAAAACGGTGTGGGAGAGGGGATACACGGTCGCAGTCTGCTGGAAGTTCTTCTTCCCGAATATTGACATGGAGGCCTACGGAATGAATCCCAGCCGTTTAAACGCGTGGCGTGACGACCTCGGGTTCACGACATGGCTTCCTACAGGGGTGTGGAGCATCCTAAACGAGCTCCACCTCGACAAACCAGACGGGTGAGTGTTTTTGAGATGGAAAGTTGCAACTTCTAAACACACGCGAGCTTCGATGGTTCTGACATTCCAACATGGGTGGCTTGTGCAGATTCTCACTCGTTCAATCCAACACGGCTGCTCATCGGCAGCAGCAGAGGGATGGCTTTCAGGTTGCTGTCTGCGCAGCTGTTGGACTAACTGCGTGGCAGAAGATCGTGGGAGGCGTGGAGGGTGAAAACGGCTATTCTACAGAAGAACACGCAGTCGGACTCGCCGCCACGTTGTCTGTACTGTGGGATGCCTCCAAGAATGTGGACCAGACCCAGTGGCAGACGGGCGCATCTGCTGCTGCGCAAAAAACTTATACGGCCATCGCAACATCTGCTGCCAACTCGGTCTCTGCTGCCACCGCCTCTTCTGCTGCCTCGTCATCTTCTGCTGCAGCCGTATCCTCTGCCGTCCTCGATGACCTTGCGCCGCTTGCAGCCTCGGTTGCTTGCGTTGCAGTAGATGCGATGAGGTCGGTCGAGGATCAGGAGCATGACAAGGAAGCGTGGATTCTGCCCCTGTCGGATGCGCTGCTGAAAGCGCTTCCGGCAGAGTCGCAGACGGGCGGGGATACGAAGCGGATGACGAGGGTGGTGGCAAAGGTGGTGACCTCTTGGTGCCTATGCAGCATGGCATCAAGAGGCCTTCGCCATCACCAGGGCGTCAGCCTCGGAGTCCTGCAGAAGAAATTGGGCAGCCGGGACACTACAACCGGGGCGGATAAGGAGAAGAAGACCAAGAAGTCGGCCGCGAAGGGGAACGCGACGAAGGGGGCGTTGACGGAGGGGAACACCAGCACCGGCGGGCAGGAGTGATATCGGGGGATGGTTTTTTTGGAGGTCTTGTTAGGACAGCTGTAGAAAATGTTTTTTCTCCAGTATTTTTAAAACCGTGTATAAAGATAGAAGTTGTTGTATACAATACAAGGTGAGATCTCATTTTACATCTGCAAACCAAAAGTACAGTCGCGAATATTGGGAGCATAAGATCTTGTCATAGGGAGCACCTTGCTACGAATCGTATACGACACTCCTCTGCACTGACACATCTGCTGTGGAGATTTAATTCATCGACGCCGAAACGTGGCGCCAAATCGGATACGACACTATACCGCAGAAAACCCTCGTAGGGATAACATCTACGGGTTCGTCAAAATCGCATAAGTCAACCGAGTGGCCCAAGAAAAGACCTCTACAATTTTGAATGTGCCTAGAGAATATGGAAAACCGGTTATGCAGAATATCGTAGACGACTGCGCACAATGCTGTAGAGTAAAAGCGTCTACGGCATCCAACCGCATAACCTAACCCTACGCATAAGAACACGTCATGAATAGGGATCTCGTTGCTACGAGTAGAATATGACACTCCTTTGACCAGGAACATATGCTGAGAGTGAATACATCGACGCCGATCCGTAGGGTAAAATCGTATACGACACGAGCCCGCAGAAAAACGCCCGGTGCATAACATCTATGTGTGCTTCCGCAACGCACATCTACAAGTAATAGCCGAATAATACACCGCCACAATGTTCTATGTGACACAACGATAAGAGAAACCTAATGCGACACGAATCCGCTTAGACTACGACAGGGTGTGTTTTAATATGCAGAGACCAGGAAAACATTATACGAAAAACACATCGTCAGTGTTATAGTGACAATAGGCTTGAATGTGCCTAAAACGAAAGATAGAGAGCACAGACGGATTTCTGCACAGCGGCTTCAAACGTTGATAGCGTTCTGCTCACAGCTGCAAATTACTTTATTCGAATTGGATCTGGAGCGTCTTCACGTCGTCTACAATTAGCAATTTAGATTGCACGATTTGATAAAGAATTGACGACACAGCGTCGGTTTGAACGAACGGTACTATGGCAGCCACTATAGTCTTAGAACACAAGATAGGAAGAGTTACGAGTTGGGAATGACTCCCAGCTCCTACAAACCCCAAGAGCCGAGGTACAGTGATGTGGAACAGTGCCACACTGTCCCCAACCACGAAGGGTCTCGAAACTACCCTTCACTAGGGCCTACACCAAGTGAAATGTTACACTACACAAAGTAATGTAACTATCTTCAATATCTTGAGGTGTACCCTTTTGGCAAGCTTCGAAATCACTTGAGGCTTGACACCAAGGCTCGGGCTCTTCATCACAAACTCATCCTTGAGTTCTTTATGGGTCTGCTGCACACACCTGCGACACGCCGAACGTTCGACACAGGACAAAATAGAAACCGCGCACGACAAAATAGAAACCGCGCGCGAGACACAAATGACCGCGTAACACGCGTCTAGCGATAACTCGCTATTGACTCGACACACACACTCAACATCATGACTCAACATTCACACACAATTATAAGCATGAAATATATATTATCCCATGCCCTCATACCATTCCATACACACACACATTCACGCACACGGACAACAAGCCGAGTGCAAACCGTAGGGTTGCACCAACAAACTCCCCCTCGGATTGTTGGCCTTAGGATATGTTGCTCTCTCAGTTCAGAGCCATCCCAGCCAGCTTGCAACACTTCCAATGCTGCTGCTCCACCAGCCTCTTGTTCATCATGTCAGCCGGCTGCCCCGTGGTCTTCACGTAGCGCAACTCAACTTCACCCGCGGTTACCATGCTCCTCGTCCAATGCCACTTCACCCTCATGTGCTTCGTGAGTCCATGCAACACAGGGTTCTTAGCAAGAGCAATGGCACCCTGGCTGTCACAGTACAGTGGGGTAGGTCCTTGCTGCTCCTCCCCCAATTCAGCCAACAAACGCCGCTGCCACACAATCTCCCGTACGGCACGGAAGAGTGCCATGTACTCGGACTCCACCGAGCTCAAAGCTTGGTCAACCTGCTTCTTGCTCTCCCAAGCAGTTGGGCCTCCACCAACACAGCATATGAAGCCTCCCACACTTGTCATGTCCTCTGGTTCTGATGCATATGAAGCATCCGAGTAGGCGGTGAGGAACAAACGCCCGGGTTCAACACCATCCGCGCCCTTTTGGCGCCTTTGTGCCGCCGCCGAGTATTGCAGCCCAATGGTCGGTGTTTGGCCAAGATACTTGGCCACCCTCATTCCAGCTGCTACCTGCTCCTCATTAGGGCATTGCACAACCCTAGCCAGCTGCCCGGTAGCAAACGCGACGTCCGGTCGGGTGTTTACCGCCGCATACATGAGGCTGCCCACCAACGAGTGAAATCGGCGCCTCTCCTCTTCACCAACGCTCTCCTCCTCTGGTCCCTTCACACACTTGAACCCAGAGGGAAAGGGTGTAGCCACATGGCCTTCACTCTGCCCAAAGTTGGCAGCCAATGCCTCCAGGTACTTTCGTTGATGCACCCGCATGCACCGCTTCTCCACATCTCGTTCGATGTGGAGCCCAAGGTAGAAGCTCACGTCACCAAGGGCCTTGCACTTGAACTTGTCTTGAAGCTTCAGCATCACCTCCTTCACAAGGTCAGAAGAGGGTGAGAAAATGAGGATGTCATCCACATAAACCACCATGAAACTCCTCTGCTCCCCCTCGCCAAGCATGAACAAGGAGTGATCGGCCGTTGAGGGAGTGAAGCCGATCCCCTCCAACACTTCGCGCAGCTTCATGTACCATTGCCTAGGGGCCTGCTTCAGCCCATAGAGGGCCTTCTTCAGCTTCCACACTCTGCCACTACCATCATCAAACCCCTCTGGCTGCGCCATAAAAATCTCCTCCTCAAGGATGCCGTTAAGGAATGCCGTTACGATGTCCATTTGCTTTACTACCCATCCTTTGATGGCGGCTCCCGCGAATAGGGTTCGCAGCGTCGTCGGCTTCACCACAGGGGCAAACAGCTCCTTGAAGTCCACCTTCTCCTTCTGCTGGTACCCCTTGGCTACAAGCCTAGACTTGTAGCGCTCGATCTTGCCGTCGGCATCCGACTTGATTTTGAAGAGCCACTTGGACGTTATCGCCGTACGCCCCTCCGGTAGCTCCACCAATTCAAACGTGTCATTCTCCTCGATGCTCTTCAGCTCACTCTCCATGGCCTTCTTCCACTCCTCAGCATCACTACTCTCCAAAGCCTCCTTGAGAGTTGCTGGTTCTCCCGGCATCTCCACCGGAGAGAAGAACGCGAAGGCACACTCCTCGTAGTCACTCTCCTCGTCGTCTCCGACCATCATTGGCGCTCCGGCCAGGGCTGTCTTGCCCTGCTTTCCCGGCGCATCATAGGTCAGCCTATTAGGGGGTTGAACTCTCCTCTTCCCCCTTCCTTCCTCCTCAGCTGCAGGGACTTGAAGGCCTTGGCGTTGCTGCGGTGTGGCTCGAATCCGTGGAGCACTCGTAGTACGGGAAGGAAGTGACGGTGCACGCTCGCTCACTTGCTGCACCTCCTCCTCTTCTTCCTCTGCATCATTGGCCTCCTCTCCCTCATTCACAAGGGAGGATTGCCTTGTGGTTGTGCTGCCGCTGCTCAGTTCCAAAGGCAGCTCCACATGCTCCAAACCGGAACTCTTCACCTCCCCAAACCGCACGCCTATCTTCGCCTCATTCTCCGCCTTCCAATCCTTGTACATGAAGTTCTCCATGAACTTGCAGTCCCTGCTCACCAAGAACTTCTTGGTGAATGGGTCCCAAAGAAGTCATCCCTTGCTGTTTTGAGCCATGCCCAAGTGCACGGCCCACACCGCCTTGGCACCAAGCTTGTTGTGCCGAAGATGCTTAGGCACGAGCGCCATGCACATGCACCCGAACACCCGAAGCATATCCACCTTTGGCTTCCTTCCTAGCCACTCCACATACGGCACCCATTTGTCTGCTCCCACATGAGTCAAGGCTCTGTTCTTGGCCACACACGCGCTCCGCACCGCATCAAGCCAGAAATAGTCGGGTAGCCCGGCTTCAATGAGCAACCCGCGTGCCGCCTCCGTGATTGTGCGGTTCGCTCGCTCGGCGATGCCGTTCATTGCAGGGAAGTATGGCATGGTGAGGGAGTGCCGAATACCATTCTTCTTCAGCCACAACCCAAACTCCTTGCTCAGGAACTCTCCCCCCTCGATCGGTGCGGATTGACTTGACTAGACGGTCTTGTTGCCGCTCCACCATCGGGAACCAATCCGTCTTCAACGTTTCAGCCACGTCGCTCTTCTTGGCCAGCACATACACCCAAGTCATGCGGGTGTAGACGTCGACAATGGTGAGAAAATACTCAGCTCCAGCAGCTCCAAGCTTCAGGGGGCCCACCACGTCCATCACCACCTCATCAAGCGGTGCCTTCGCCGTTGCCTCCGAACTAGGGAACGGAAACCGGGTGAACTTGGCTTGAATGCACGTCGGGCAGCCAAGCACCTCATCGGGCTCCCCCTTCACACGTATGCCAGCAACCATCTCATTCTTCACTAGCTGCTGCAAGATGGGCAGGGCCACATGCCCCATGCGCCGATGCAAGGTGAGCCAATCACACTCCCCCGTAGCCGAAGTTGGATTGGAGAATGCCGCGCTCGCAATAGCGCCCCACATACTCTCTCCGTAGTCCTCCTCCGCTGCTGCCTCTGGGTTCTCCTCACCCTTTTGCTGCTCCTTGGTTGCTGCACCACTCTCCTTGGGTTCACTGAACTTGCTGGTCCCTCCAGGTTTGCTCTTCTTGAGCTCATTCTCCTTAGCGCGACCGTTCGCGCCATCGTCGCTACCGACCGCTCCATCCTTGGTGCTGATGCTTGCTGCCACTTGCCTCTCCTTAGGCATAGGGACCACTGGGATCTGCCACATCTCGTTGTAGACATCCCTGTCCTCATGAAGGTCCCAAAGAATTCGATCGCCAAGCCTTGCGGTGTAGGTCTTGGCTCCCTTCGAGTTCGTGTCCATGCCGGCCTTTGCCAACCGCCGCACAGAAATCAGGTTTGCAGCAAGGCTGGGCACCCAAAGCACGTTCTTGAGGCCCACCATCTTCCCATCAGCACCCTTGAACATGGCCTTGCCCATGCCTTTCACCTCTGCTCGCTGCCCCAAAGCCGATGTGACATGCTTCACCGGTGACGGCTCGAGTTCGGTGAGCAAGTCCGGGCGAGGTGTCATGCTATAGGTAGCGCCATTATCAATCACCCAATAGTCCAGGGGGTGTAGGGTCACCTTCCTCACAGCTGCTGGCTCCTCAAAGCCTTCATCCTTCTCTGGACCAGCCGGTACTTGCGTCGACACGAAGTAGAATAGACCCGGGTATCGATCGTCGCTCGGGTCCTTGTCGTTGTCTCCGCTCTTCATGTTTGCAGCTCCGCCACCGCGACCGCCACGGCCTCCACGGCCTCGTCCTCTCCCTCCTCCTGCTCCTCTACCCTCTTGGCCTTGAGCAGGGGTCCAACCATCAGGGAGTTTGTAGCAGTCGCGCCACATGTGTCCGCTCTTGTGGCAATAGTGACACTCGCCGTCGAATCGGCCGCGACCGCGTCCGTAGCTCTTGTCGTCGCTGCCGTAACCGCCACTCCTGCGGCCTCCGCCGAAATTGCTGCCACCAAACCTTCCTCCCCCTCGTCCTCTGCCTCTTCCTCGACCATATCCACGGCCGATGCTCGCTGCCCCAGCGCCATCCGCACTCGCCAACTCACGGCGGCGGAAATCCTCTTGAAGGATAGCTCGCTTCACGTCTTCAAGCGAGAGGCGGGGCAAGTCGCGATTAAGGTTGATGATGAGCGAGGACCATGAATCTGGGAGTAAGGCCAGCAACTTGGTCTTCTTTTGGAGCTCACTGTAGTTCAAATCAGCTCCCTCAAGCCGCGTCAACAAGTCGAAGAATTTCTGCACCCCTTCTTCAACCGCTTCGTCTTCTTCAATTCGTAGTGCCGCCATTTGCCGTTCCAACACCACCGCTACCGCCGCTGTTGCAGGAGCATGTACACCCTTGAGAGCAGCCCATGCCTTTGGTCCTTTCTCTGGTTCACGCTGGATTGGCTTGATGTGACGGATCTGACTGCTCCCCAACGCTTGCCCAAGTAAGAGATAGCCTTGTGCGCTCTTCCGCACCCACGGGCTCTTCTCCGGGTCGTTCTCGGGGCGCTTCTCCGTTCCTTCCATCACCTCCAGCAGGTCATAGTGGTCAAAGATGTTCTCCATCTTGAAGGACCATTCAGCAAAGTTGTCACCGTTGAACTTGTCAAGCCCAAACACCCTAGGCTCATCCCTAGGTGGGCCAAGACTTGGTTGCATGGGCGCCATGGCTGAATCACGGGGTTGGCCTTGAGCTTGAGCTTCTCCACTGCCACCAGCACCTCTGCCACCCCTTTCCTCAGGTCCAGACATTGTCGAAACTGCTCCAAGGGGCTCTGATACCACTTGTTATAGTCACAATAGGCTTGAATGTGCTTAAAACGAAAGATAGAGAGCACAGACGGATTTCTGCACAGCGGCTTCAAACGTTGATAGCGTTCTGCTCACAGCTGCAAATGACTTGATTCAAATTGGATCTGGAGCGTCTTCACGTCGTCTACAATTAGCAATTTAGATTGCACGATTTGATAAAGAATTGACGACACAGTGTGGGTTTGAACGAACGGTACTATGGCAGCCACTATAGTCTTAGAACACAAGATAGGAAGAGTTACGAGTTGGGAATGACTCCCAGCTCCTACAAACCCCAAGAGCCGAGGTACAGTGATGTGGAACAGTGCCACACTGTCCCCAACCACGAAGGGTCTCGAAACTACCCTTCACTAGGGCCTACACCAAGTGAAATGTTACACTACACAAAGTAATGTAACTATCTTCAATATCTTGAGGTGTACCCTTTTGGCAAGCTTCGAAATCACTTGAGGCTTGACACCAAGGCTCGGGCTCTTCATCACAAACTCATCCTTGAGTTCTTGATGGGTCTGCTGCACACACCTGCGACACGCCGAACGTTCGACACAGGACAAAATAGAAACCGCGCACGACAAAATAGAAACCGCGCGCGAGACACAAACGACCGCGTAACACGCGTCTAGCGATAACTCGCTATTGACTCGACACACACACTCGACATCATGACTCAACATTCACACACAATTATAAGCATGAAATATATATTATCCCATGCCCTCATACCATTCCATACACACACACATTCACGCACACGGACAACAAGCCGAGTGCAAACCGTAGGGTTGCACCAACAGTCAGGAGAAGAAGGTGGCATACAAGGCCCAGAACCGGCCTTCAACAGAGACAGTATAGTGCACATAGTGGGCAAAAGGGGGCAAAAGCAATATGCCCATCCAAGACAGCATAACCTCCAAACCGTAGTGGTCTCCACGTCTCTGAAGAATCCCTAGACACCAATTTATACGCCTAAGGTTTCGACGCAGCCGCCTTTGCCTTTTCCCGTTCCGCCTTCTTCGCCTCTGCAGCTCGTCTTTTCTCCTCTTCCGCCAAAACCTTCGCCAGCTCTTCCTTGTTGATCACCCCCCACTCAGCATCCCCAAACAGCGCCGTTCCCCACTCTTCGTCGCGCAGCCCCATTTTGACTATCAGCCAGCTCACTCTGCGTTGGTGCAAGTCGTTGTGGGTCCTCTTCTTGGTCGACGACCCGGTTTTCTGTTTCTTGTTGGGTGGAGTCTCATGCAGCACCGCCAGACCGTTGGTGAATTCGGTGAAGTTGCACAAGAGGAACACATCGTCGAGCAGCTTAACAGCCGTTGCGGTCGCCGCCTCGGAACTGTCAGCTCTGAATGTCTCCACGGCTTTCATGACAAGCTGCACGCGACGCATCTTCCGCTCGCATGCAGACGGACACATCGGGGCCACACCTTTAGCCGCGAACCGGGCATATGCGGTGAAGAAGCTGTTGTTCTTGTTTTTATCCCGGTCAAACTCTGCGAAGACATCGCTCAATGACATGCCGCCCATGATGTAGCTTGGCTGCACCCACAGTTTCCACGCAGCCGCCACAGTCGTGAAATCGCGCCAAGGCACAACGCCCACGACGAAGAAATCTTCCACCGCAACTGGTCGTTTGGGTGCGTCCGTTGCCTGGCTTGGACCTACCCCAGCGCCCTTGGATGATCCGTCGACCTCTGCAGGGGTGTTTGCAGCGTCTTTCCTGGCCTGTACATACCTCTTGTAAGCTTCGAACTCTGCAATGACACGAGCCTTGTCCTCTTGCTCAGCATCGCGTTCCTCCCTCAGTTTCGCGTTCTCCAACGCCAACAGCGTTTCACGTCCTCTCGAATTCCCAAGATCAATTCTGAGGAGATTGGCGGTGAGGTACATCTTCTGCAACTTCTCCTCGGCGGTCGTGCGAAAGATAGCATCCTGCAGATAAAAAAACGTAAGAACTCTGCTTTAATGGATCACTCTCTCTACCACTAATAGCAGACACTTACTGCTCTGGCGGTGGTTTGGCTGGTCTTCCGAAGCTTCTCGCCCTGGAAATGAAAATCAGCGACCAGGTACGCCCACTTTTGGAACAATGGGTGCTTGCACAAGGGGCTCATCTGCACGTAAGGATGCCGCTCGCATTTGCACCGCGGGATTTTCACGCCGTGCTGATGGCAGAACGCCCACATCATAGCCAGATCCTGTGCAACAACGAAGCGTCCGATGGTCGCGAGGGTCTCGAGGAACCTAAACCCCGCATAGTGTCTCTTCAGCTCGTCGGTCTGAGCATCGTTCCACGCCTTGGCCTGAGGGGACGAGTAGGCAGGAGAAATGCGACGGTAAATAAATGCGTATACATTTCCATATACGAACGCGCAGACTCAGAGACTCGCACGTACCTTCTTCCACTCCTCCTCGATCCAGGGAAAGATGTTCTGCCTCATGAGATCCAGCAGCTGCAACCACTCATCCTTCTCTTTATCCTCATGGCGCGGAAGCTTAGCGCGGGCTCTGCCGATGTAGTAATCTCCACGATCCCCGCTGAATCCAGCCAGAAGCCAAACCGGCTTGAACGGAATGCCAAACACACAAGACCTCCGCATCTCGCCCAGCTCCCATCCGCCCAGAGTGCCGATATCGTTGTCGGAGCAACCGTCGTCATGGAGTTGTTGCGCTCCAGATCTGCGGAACGCATGTGTCACCTTGCTCAGAATCCATTTTGCCTTGTCGATGGCCCATTTAATCCAGGTGCAGTGCGTTTTGTAGTGCATCTCATCTTGCTTCTGCTTTCCCTTGTCCTTCTTCTTCTTCAAGGAAAAGAAGAGGTGCGCTTTAGTCCACTTGAGCGGTTCGAAAAAATCGAGAGGCTCGACGATACCGGGGCCGTATCGCAGAGGAACGAGGTCGTAGATGAAATGAAGCCAGAGGAAAACATGGCCCATTCCGCAGAGCCGCCAGTCCCTATGCCTTGCAAGAAACTGGTGACTCAGCTTGTTGGTGAGGTTGGTCTTCGATTTCCTGGAGACGACTACGAATACATAGACGTCCAGATCGTCGTCGAGGTGTGAGGTGCTCCGCGTCATGCGGACAAACATGTTCGGAAGTCGAATCTTTCGAATGCTGCACCCTCTTCCCAGAAATTGGTGTCCGAGGTGCATCATAACCGGCGTCTGCAGAGCCTTCCAGAGAGGAAGCGAGATTTGAGTCGGAGGCGACCGCCACCAGATTTGAAGGAGTTCTCTTCGCATAACCGTATGATGTAGCGTCATATACTGGGTTGCCGTATAGCAATCGCCAATTGATCCGCGGGTTTGATCTCGACCATCTCTGCATCAAAGAACGCAGTAATTAGGTACGAAATGTAGAGAAGGAATTACACAAGCAGAAAGCACACCACTAAGTTACTCACTCGACTTGCTTTTCGTTCAGCTCCTTCAACTTCACTTTCAGAAAATCCCGAGCCTCCTTGATCCAGTCCTTGGTCATTGAGATGGAGAAGTCGTAGAGCCTCGCCTCGCTTCTGGCAAGGCATCCCATCGCGTTCATCTTTGCCTTGATCATGGAAGGCGTGCACCCCTTGGCCTCGTTCCCCACCCACTTCTCAACGTCTGGCCGTATTTTACCACGCAATAGCTTTGCCTGGTCGTCTGTTTCGCGGAAGAGGAACTCGATGTATCGGCCCAGCCTCCAGTTCGTGACTCGCGGCCCGTGCAGATGAATCTCCCACTGGTCAGAGCTGTTCGACCACTGATCATTTCCCAAGTTATTCTTCAGATGAAACCCAACCTCGTCGTGCAGAGAGGGAGCCAGGCTATCGAACACAGGGACATCCACCATCGTTGCCATGAAGATTATCACCCACCACTTGAAGTGGAGAAAGTGGAAACAATAGTGCCTTCTCGTGTCTTCCTCTATCAGTCGAAGAGGGATTGTTGAACGCTCGATCATGCTCGCATTTTCCGCAACGCCTTCTTGCCGCTGCCCATTTCGTGCCGCCGCACCCTGCTCGACGTGGCTCGCAGCGGAGCGTGGTCGTCCTCGTCGCGATGATCCTCCCTCTTCTTCACGGTCAGAGTGATCTCCATCCTCCTCGTAAGCTTCTTCGGCCTCACCGGGTCGTCGGCGCACTTCACCGACTCCCGGCCCTTCACTCCCCTCGGCTTCCTCAATCACGATGGTCGGTGCGTAGGGACGACCTTCAAACAAATCGTCCTCGGTCGTGTCAAACTCGATATCGTTCTCGCGATCCCCTGCGTAATCTTCTACGGTATTTTCTTCGTCCTCCAGGTCCTCTTCTTCACCCTCTGCGTCCTGGGCAGACACTGGGCGAGGCTGGACCGTTGCGTCGGCCATTGGCAGATGCCTATTTTATACGCGTCGCACCAAGTCTAGACCAATAAAATTGGAGGTCAGAAACAGAAGGTGTAAAGGATTCGCGGGTATGCAGAGAAATTAGGCAGATTGCATAGTGGGCTAAGCGCAGAAGCCTTAACAGCGTCTCTTATTCACGTCTGAACATTGGTCTACGAATGCCGACTATTCTACTTAGACATCTAGCTGCGCCTACAACTTGCGTATAGTTCGGCAACCTTTTGTTCTACCGCTTTAATTTTCTACAATGAATCACCGAAAACAAGTTCCGACAATTCTACCGATCGAGTTGTCTACGACAACCTTATGCTTCAACATGAACGTCCGAAGTTCTACAATAGAATGGATCGAGACCGAATACTTCTACGGATCTAAATCACCCCGACTAAAAAGCAGTGCCTACAACTTGCGTATAGTTCGGCAACCTTTTGTTCTACCGCTTTAATTTTCTACAATGAATCACCGAAAACAAGTTCCGATAATGTCGAAGAGAAAAGGCCCCGCCCTCGCTTGGGCGAAGTCGACCAGGCATTTCGGAACAGACGGTGTTCGTTTCGTGGTCATCGACGACTTCGGGGACTTTTATCTGTGTGCGACGAGTCGTTTGTCGACGAGATTAATTGGTCGAGGTAGAAGTGTTTCCTCTGCTCGATCAAAGTCCTCGTCTAGGAGGAGCTCGTCGACGGGAGTGAAACGGCGTCGAAGACGAGCCTTTCTGATAGACGGAATTGGCAGAATTGGTGTTTCGACGGATTGCTGGTCGACAGAATTCAGTTCGACGAGTGTTTCGTCGAGCAGAGCGATTCTGGTCGACCAGAATTACTTGGCTCCGAAATTCGCAATGTACGCGAATTTCGACCAATCACGAAACAGCGAATTTCGACCAATCAGGTAATTCCGGAAATTGTACTCCCTAGGAGAATTCGATTCAGTAAGGAAACTGAACCTGGAACACGTTTTTACTAACAGTAAAAACGTGCACAACTATGAACGTTGTAAACCTGAGCAACTACCAACTCAAGTGAAATATGCATGTGTTTGTCGTTTCACCTGCCGTTGCTGACTCGACAGATTGAAGTGCTTGTCGAGGAACGTTTCTACAGGGTTCATTGTCTTTGCTATTTGGTTCTCCTTGCTTGTACTACATTCTTGTTCTATCAACTTTCCTTAGTGAAACTATGCTTGAATTCTACTAAGGCATTTTAACACTCTGTTAAGAATCACTGCCAGAACTCCGACCGTGTGTCCCACGCAATTCAGCTCTCCCGTAGAATAGCTTTCTCCGGAGACAATTCTACCGATCGAGTTGTCTACGACAACCTTATGCTTGAACATGAACGTCCGAAGTTCTACAATAGAATGGATCGAGACCGAATACTTCTACGGATCTAAATCACCCCGACTAAAAAGCAGCGCCTACAACTTGCGTATAGTTCGGCAACCTTTTGTTCTACCGCTTTAATTTTCTACAATGAATCACCGAAAACAAGTTCCGACAATTCTACCGATCGAGTTGTCTACGACAACCTTATGCTTGAACATGAACGTCCGAAGTTCTACAATAGAATGGATCGCGACCAAATACTTCTAGGGATCTAAATCATCCCGACTAAAAAGCAGCGCCTACAACTTGCGTATAGTTCGGCAACCTTTTGTTCTACCGCTTTAATTTTCTACAATGAATCACCTAAAACAAGTTCCGACAATTCTACCTATAGAGTTGTCTACGACAACCTTATGCTTGAACATGAACGTCCGAAGTTCCACAATAGAATGGATCGAGACCTAATACTTCTACAGATCTAAATCACCCCGACTAAAATATGTGTCTACCTAACCGGACGACATACGACAACGATATAGGTCGACAGCCTACAGTTCTATCGAACAAATATGCTCAACCGCATACAAATGCGCCTACGTAAGCGACCGAATATGTCCGACAGATTATATCCTAAACCGGGCTGACCCAAAAAAAAAAAAAAAACCTATACGATATACCACGCTACGTCGAGGACGCAAGTGTTCTGCCGGTGGCTCCAGCAGGCTAAACCCTAGACTACGCGGGTGCGTAACACGTACTGCTGGATGAAAAGATATCAAAGAGCTTGCGGACCATGAAAGGCAAATGAAAACGAGCAAATGAGCACAAAAACACCCATTCATACCCAAACAGCACACACAAGCCCTTGTCCAGATCTGGTCTCCCAACCTTGGGTTGGGATTTTCCCGCCAAAACACTGCATGGAGATGGTCGCCGATTGGCTCCTGCACCAATGGATTACTGACAAAACCTGTTGCAATCGCCACGTGTGCAGAATGACTACACTTGGTTAAAATCGACTGAAACACAAATAGCAATGTAAGCAATGAACCCGGGAAATGCAGCGTTAAGATAACAAAAACACGCTGTTTCAAGTTAAAGCTTAAAACGACGTAGAGACGACCAGTTGGTCGCAAATGGCCATGCGACTGGCGCCGTCATCTGTCGGCCAAAGAGTCACCCGTGCGAAAGATGTCATTCGCGATCAACACCAGGCGCAAACGGAGTCACGGGCAGATTGGTTGGAACTCGGTTTTCACGGTCAGGTGGGCGCGGAACTGTGCAAGGTTAGCCTTGTCGTATGCGGCGGAGCCTTGCGCCTATGTCCTTCGGAATCCGGAACACACGGATCCAAGGCCCCGGACCCAGGGGCAAACGCACTCGGAACTGCGCTTCAATGTAATAAGAGTCCCTGCGAAAGCTACTTACCCATGAGTTTTGAACGGGCGGGGCGCTGTGTTTGTGTGGTGCAAGCAAATTCGTTTGGCGCGTAGCTGACGCATTGCAGTTATTTTTCGTCCCATGGTTGTCATTTGCTAGGTCGAAGAAGACAAAGCATCTCTTTCCAAACAGCCTCAACCTCCGTTAGAATTATGCGGCAGAAATAACGCCTACAATCAAAGCCATGTGCACTTCCTTCTGGAGCCATTCCCGCAGCTTTCTGATGACCCGGTCGGACTGATTCGCGACGAAGCTCTAGGGTTTGATTTGAACACGAACATGTGGTGTGACCGTGCAGTGGCCGTAGCCAACATTGGCGACGGTATCATATGACAAGCAGACCAGTGCAGAGCAGATGCTTCAGAAACCACAGAAACCCCTCCAGACGTGTTGTGGACTAGGTTTCTATCGCACTTGCTGTAGCTGACGACGCAGACTCCGATGTAGGCCGTAGCCAACGTTGGCAACGATGGCAAGCAGGCTAGCTCAGATGCCACACAACATCCATACGCGTTATAGCCTCGCTTCTAACGCACGTGTCGTAGCTTCCGGTGCAGAGGCCGTGCACGTTGGCAATGATGACGAGCAGGCCAGCGAAGCACCAATACTAGGAGCTGTCGACCGTCGACACTGGATGGTGAGCGACACACCGACCACATGATGGATGGAATGACACCGACCACCAATACTAGGAGCAGCTGGGGACGGGGACGGGGACGGGGACGGGGACGGGGAGGGGGAGGGGGAGGGGGAGGGGGAGGGGGAGGGGGAGGGGGAGGGGGAGGGGGAGGGGGGAGGGGGAGGGGGAGGGGGAGGGGGGAGGGGGAGGGGAAGGGGGAGGGGAGGGGGAGGGGGAAAGGGAGGAGAGGGTGGGTAACTATGGGGAGCGTGTGAGAGGGAGGTAAAGATCGCGACTAAAGCAGGGGATTGCATTCCAAGCCCCTGAGCGTCGTGATAGTCCCATCCGGCAAGCGGCGGTCCCATATTTCCAGGCTCTATCGCGAGACACCCCACCCAGGCGGCTCAGATTTCTAGTAAGCGGCGGCGCCTCAAATCTGCCGCGTCCAGGTGGTTTTCGAGTCGATTGAAGAATCCGCCGCGTGGTCGAGGACTATCAGACTTTTGACTATCCAAAAGTCACCTCCGAGGCAGCAGCAGCGCCGACCGAGCCGCACAGCCGCAGCGCGGCATCCACGGCGTTTGTTGCGCGCACGCGGCGGCGGCGGCGGCGGCGGCGACGGCGGCTCAAGAGCGCTGCGAATCTCGAATCGAACACGATGCAGACACCTCCCCGCGCCGCCTCGCGCCGCGGAGACTTTTTCGCGTCCCGACAGGCGGCGCCGGCGTGCTACTACTACGCGGTGATCGTGCTTCTCGCCGCGCTGCTGCTCGCGAATGGCAGCGACGCCGCCGCTGTCGCAGGTCAGTCTTGCGTCGGCCCGTCCTTCCACCTTCCTTGCCTCCGGTTTATTCCCTTGTCCGATCGACTCGCGTCGCGCATCCCAGGCAACAATCTCCCCGGCCCCTCCCCTCCCTCCCCTCCCTCCCTTCCCTCCTCTTCCTCCTCTTCCTCCCCTTCCTCCCCTTCCTCCCCTTCCTCCCCTTCCTTCCCTTCCTCCCCTTCCTCCCCTTCCTCCCCTTCCTCCCCGTCCTCCATCCATCCGATGCGACCTGTGCACGTCGATAAGACAGTCCAATCGCCCTTCTCATCATGTTTCATAAAAGCAGCAACCGCCAAATCCCTTCCTGTCGCTCCCTCCCCGTCTGACCCCGTACCACTGGTAGCCCAGGGCTATGGCTGCAGCAGCGCGAATCCCGACTTTGAGGCTCCTGAAACATTCACCCGTCTTTCTCCCCTCTCCCTCCCGTTACCCGTCCTCCCCTCTCCCTCCCGTTGCCCTTCCTCCCCGTCTGCCCCCGGTACCAGCCGCGAGCTATCGGTGCGGCGCAAATCCCGCGGTGGCGTCGGTGGCTCCCAAGTACGCGAACCGGTTCTTCCGGTTTATCAGCACCCTTTATAGCGCGGCGACGAGGGACGTCGCAACCGACCTTTTCACGAAAGGTCGCAACTGGGTCGAGGACCCGCGCCTTGACCCCGTTCTCGCGCTGCGCTCCCAAGGCAACTGCAGTGAGTGTGCTGGCGGGGAGGGGAGACCCGGGGGGAAGGAGAAGGGGAGAGCCGGCGCGGCGCCGGGTTGGTTGGTGCCAGCAATGCCCAGTGGGGTTCGGGCGGGAGAGGGGAGCCCGCCCAGTATCATCTGAGGTTTATTTTCCCTCAGCGGGAGAGGGGAGCCCGCCCAGCGAGGTTTATTTTCCCTCAGCGGGAGAGGGGAGCCCGCCCAGCGAGGTTTATTTTCCCTCAGCGGGAGAGGGGTTGGCAGTGCTAGTGCGCAGGTGCTTCTCGCCCTTCATTCAGATTCTGAGGCGCCTAAAAGATGGTCTCCCGTGGTTCTACTTGTAATACTACTAGTGCTCAAGTGTTACACTCATCCAACATTCAGAAACGGGCTTACTAACTAATCCCACAAAGGACCTATTTCTCAGCCCTTCTCCTCTTTTCCCCCTCCCCGTCCATCCACATCCCGCTCCCCTCCCTCTTCCTTTCCCCTCCCCTCCGGCGCTTATCAGTACAGCAGGTGCGGAAGCTACCACCCAAGCAAGCAGGGGCTTTAACGCGAGAAATTACTACTGCTGAGTTATTATGCGTCCTTATACGCGTGCAGTTTATACAGCGTAGCGTAGCTTGCACCTAGGAGCAGCAGCAGTAGCAGCAGCAGCAGCAGCAGCAGCAGCAGCAGCAGCAGCAGCAGCAGCAGCAGCAGCAGCAGCAGCAGCAGCAGCAGCAGCAGCAGCAGCAGCAGCAGCAGCAGCCCATGTCTCTACTAACTGCAAATTCCCCATCAGTAACAGCAGCAGCTGCGGCGGTGGCGGGCGGCCCACCCACCTCTCCCCGCGCCCGTTCCCCCACAACCCATCCCCCACAGGTGACAAACTGCGAGATCAGCAGCTGCTGCAGCTGCGGCGGTGGCGGGCAACTCACCCACCCACACCCCTTCTCCCGCGCGGCGTCTCTCCCCCGTTCCCCCTTCTGAGTCGTCTCGAAAGTCACCTCGTGGAAGGCAACTCACCCACCCACCCACACGCCTTCTCCCGCGCGACGTCCCTCAACCCTCCCCGTTCTCCCTTCTCCACCCTCTCCTTCCCCCACCCCCCACCCCTCCAGGTACTTCCCTGCACCAGCAGCAGCTGTGCCGCGGGCGGGTGGCCCACAGCAGCGCTGAACTACATGGTTGACGCCACAGAGCGGTCTGGGGGCCTTGCAACCGAGCTGTTCCCTACCCCACCCCCCCCAACCCCTCAGGAGCGGGACTACATGGTGGATGCCATGCCACTATGCAGTGGGGGGGGGCAGCCTCTCATTGCCTCCGCGCTCTTCTCTCTCTCTCTCTCCCCATCCCCCACCCCTTTAGGTACTTGACTGCAGCAGGAGAGGCACCAGCAGCAGCTGTGCTGCGGGCGGGTGGCCGACGACAGCGCTGGACTACATGGTGGACGCCACGATGCGGTCTGGGGGCATCACCACTGAGGCTGGATATGCGTACACGCAGAAGGACGGCAAATGCAAGCGCGCCAAGGTATGCCTGGGGAGGGTACGGCTGGGGAAGTATGCTGCAGTGGGGAGGCATCACCACTGAGGCTGGATATGCGTACACGCAGGAGGACGGCAAATGCAAGCGCGCCAAGGTACGCCTGGGGGAGGTAGTAGTAGGTATCGCTGGGGGAGGTATGCCTGGGAAAGGTATGCTGCGGTGGGGGGGGAGGGGGCTTGCGCTGGTTGCGCATACACGCAGAAGAACGGCAAATGCAAGCAACCGTGCCAAGGAATATGCCTGGGGTGGGGGTGGTACGGCTGGGGGAATAACACTTTGGGGAGGTACGGCTGGGGAGGGTACGCTTTGGGGAGGTACGGCTGGGAAGGGTACGCTTTGGGGAGATTGAACACTCGGGCACGATGCTTGCCCATGCATAGTCACATGCTTGTCACGTGCTTTTGTGCCATGCTCATATGCCCATGTGCCCTGCCCCTGCCATGCTCATATGCCCATGTGCCCTGCCCCTGCCATGCTCATATGCCCATGTGCCCTGCCCCTGCCATGCGTCCCTGCTCGTGCACCCATGTCAAACACAAAGTAGCCGACTGTCATGGGTGTCATGGGTGGGGCATTTTTGCCTGTCCAAGCCTTGTGTGTGTGGGGCAATGCTTTCCGAAAGGCTTCGAGATGACAGCATGTTGCACAGTCGTACAGCACCGCATGTGCCATCGTAGAGTCTGGTTGGTCCCGCACCGCATGTGCCATCGTAGAGTCTGGTTGGTCCCGCACCGCATGTGCCATCGTAGAGTCTGGTTGGTCCCGCACCGCATGTGCCATCGTAGAGTCTGGTTGGTCCCGCACCGCATGTGCCATCGTAGAGTCTGGTTGGTCCCGCACCGCATGTGCCATCGTAGAGTCTGGTTGGTCCCGCACCGCATGTGCCATCGTAGAGTCTGGTTGGTCCCGCACCGCATGTGCCATCGTAGAGTCTGGTTGGTCCCGCACCGCATGTGCCATCGTAGAGTCTGGTTGGTCCCGCACCGCATGTGCCATCATCGCACCGCATGTGCCATCATCGCACCGCATGTGCCATCATCGCACCGCATGTGCCATCATCGCACCGCATGTGCCATCATCGCACCGCATGTGCCATCATCGCACCGCATGTGCCATCATCGCACCGCATGTGCCATCATCGCACCGCATGTGCCATCATCGCACCGCATGTGCCATCGCACCGCATGTGCCATCATCGCACCGCATGTGCCATCGCACCGCATGTGCCATCACACCGCATGTGCCATCGTAGAGTCTGGTTGGTCCCGTACGACCCACCCACCCACCCACGCACCCAAAACCCGTGCCCATGTGCCCATGCCCTGTTTCTCCCTCCAGGCGAAGCGGAAGGCGACGGCCATGGGCATCACGGGGTACGACCAGGTGGACTTCTACGGCTGGCTGGGTCTGCTGCTCGCTGTCAACGTAAGCACATAAGTCGAAACTGGTCACCCCTTTTTTCGCCTTAAGTGAGTCGATGCCATGTCAAGTCATGGAAGTCAGTGGTGTGCAACAAGGTAGGTACGTCCGCGTGGTTTCCCTTTTGAGTCGACTCAAAGCAGATGCCATGTCAAGTCAAGGGAACTCAGTGGTCTTCAACAGGGTACGTCCGCGTGGATGTCTACGGCTGGCATCCAACAGGTCTTCAACAGGTCTTCAACAGGTCTGCTCCTCGCTGTCAACGTAAGACAAACAGGGTGCTGACTTGCTGCAGTGACTTTTGAGACGTCCCATAAGACAGACAGACAGGGTGCGGATTAGCTGCAGAGGTTCAGATGATGGCGGCAGTGCGGGCGGGCGGGCGGCAGCGCAGGATACATGCGTGCATTGCATGCGTTGGATTTGTGCACATACTTCACATACTTGGTACTTCTAGTTTTGAGACGTCTCAAAACTAGACGTCTCAAAACTAGACGTCTCAAAACTAGACGTCTCAAAACCAGACGTCTCAAAACTAGACGTCTCAAAACTAGACGTCTCAAAACGAGACGTCTCAAAACTAGACGTCTCAAAACGAGACGTCTCAAAACTAGACGTCTCAAGATTTGTGCACATACTTAACATACTTGGTACTTCTCAGTCAGTCAGCGAGAGTCTGCTGTAGCTTGTGCCTTCCTGTTTGCCCTCCGCCCAGTCCTCATCTCGTCTTCTCTCTTCCCTTCTCCTCCCCTCTTCTCCCCTTCCCCTCCCTCCTCTCCTACCCACTTCCCCACCCCGATGGCCCCCTGTCGCAGGCTCAACCCACCATTGCATTCGTGCGAGGCTCCTACCCCTCCTTCCAAACCTACACAGATGTAAGGGAAATACTTCTCCTATGCATTTTTCGTTGGTTCAAAGGCTCCTACCCCTCCTTCCAGACCTACACAGAGGTACGGCACGGGGAGCAGGTACCACGCATTGCACTGCGCTGTTAGAGGTACCAGCGATGAGTCTGTTTTTTAGTCGACTCTAATACAGACTCATCACTGGTGGATCACAGCTGCTGCTGGTGATGGGGCGGTGTTAGAGGTACCACTTTTGAGAATTCTTGAAAGATAGAAGTGAGGTACCATGCATTGCACCTCCCCCCCCCCCCCCCCCCCCCCCCCCCCTCAGGGCATGCATATATAGCGACGCAGGGTTTGTGCAGCAGCAGGGGTGATGGATCACATCACAGCGTGCTGGTGACGAACGTGTGTTTCTTGAGAATTCTAAAAAAACACGTGCAGCAGCAAAGGTGATGGATCACATCACAGCATCTCCTCCCAGGGTGCCTACTGGATCATCACAGCGTGCTGGTGACGAAGGGGTGTGAGTTAACCTATCATCTCTTGCACTGCACTGCACGGCACTCATCATTTCCCTTCTCCCTCCACTCCACTTCTCCCCATCTACCTCTTCCCCTCCATCTCCCCCCTCACCCCCAGGGCATATACAGCGACCCAGGGTGTGCAGCGGCGGGAGTGGTGGATCACAGCGTGGTTGTGATGGGGGGTTGTTGTGAGTTTTGCTCATCCTCCTTTCTCTTCTTCCTGCTCTGCACCCCTACCCCCTTCAGGGCATATACAGCGACCCAGGGTGTGCAGCAGCGGGAGTGGTGGATCACAGCGTGGTTGTGATGGGGGGTTGTTGTGAGTTGAGCTCATCCTCCTTTCTCTTCTTCCTGCTCTGCACCCCTACCCCCTTCAGGGCATATACAGCGACCCAGGGTGTGCAGCAGCGGGAGTGGTGGATCACAGCGTGGTGGTGATGGGCTACAGCATCTCCTCGCAGGGTGCCTACTGGATCATCCGCAACTCCTGGGGTGCCAACTGGGGCATGCAGGTGGGGTAGTTGCATGCAGGTGCGCTGCATGCCTCACTGCCATGCCCCTCGCAGCTCTCTCGGTGTGCTGGTGGTGGGTCTACAGCATCTCCTCGCAGGGCGCCCACTGGATCCTCCGCAACTCCTGGGGGGCCACCTGGGGCATGCAGGTGGGGTAGTTGCATGCAGGTGCGCTAAACTGCATGTTTTGTTGAGACGTGTCAAAAGGGTTGGTGGATGACAGCGTGGTGGTATCAGGCAGGGCGCCCACTGGATCATCCTCAACTCCTGGGGGGCCATGCAGGTGGGATGCAGTCAGGTGGGATGCAGTCAGGTGGGATGCATGCAGGTGGGATGCAGTCAGGTGGGATGCATGCAGGTGGGATGCAGGCAGGCGGGATGCATGCAGGCGCCTCACCAGCAAGGTCGTAACTGATTGTGGTTTGTTGCATGCCTTTGCTTGTCCCCCCCCTCTTCCCTCCTCTATTCCCTCCCCTCTTCCCTTCCTTCTTCGCACTCTATCTTCCCTCCCCTCTTCCCTCATTTCCTCCCTCCTTCTTATCCCCCTCTCGCTTCCCTCCTCTCTTCCCTACTCTGCCTCACTCTCTGCACATTGCTCTCTTGTCTATCTCTGCGTGCTTTCACTCACTCTGCGTGCTTTCACTCACTCTGCGTGCATTCTCTCACTCTCTGCGTGCATTCTCACTCTCTGCGTGCAGGGCTTCATGCAAATGGCCTTTGGCGGAGGCATTGGCATCTGTGGCATTCACTCCGTGCCGGCCATCTACCCCGTTATTAAGAGTGAGTAGACCTTGCTTGTCTGCAGTGCGCACATGCACACATGCACACGTGCACACATGCACTCGCACACATGCGCTCGCACACTTGCACACATGCACTTGCACACTCGCACACATACCCTGTGCATTGGCAATGAGATCTCAGCACTTGCTGCTACACATGAACGTGTCTGCAGTTTTAATATGTTTTCTAGGAAATTCTCAAGAAACGTCTTTAAAAAAAGCGTATTTTAGCACTCGCTGCTACGCATGCACGTCTCTGCAGTTTCTCTTTTGAAGTGCCTCAAAAGTCATCTCTCCCCTTCCCTCCCTCTCCCCTTCCCGCCCCACTCAAGCTTCTCTCCCCTCGCTGTGCCTGTCGCAGCAGAATCCATGTGGGGGAGGTACATGTATGGACACAGAAAACAGCGACTCACATGCACGTACCTCTATCCCCTCCTCACCCTTCACCTCACCACCCCCCCCTTCCCCCTTGGGCGCGCCACCAGCGCCCTCGCCGTGCCTGTCGCAGTTGAGTCCATGTGGGGGGGCTGCATGTGAGGTCGCTTTTGAGTCGACTCAAAAGCCATCCCCCCTCCCTTAAACCCCCTCTCCTCCCCCCACACACCAGAACCCTCGCCGTGCCTGTCGCAGTTGAGTCCATGTGGGGGGGCTGCATGCAAGGTCGGAGGATGGTGGTCCGGCTACACATGCGCGTGTCTGTATCCTTTAATTTCCGCTTTTGACAAAGGCAACGTTGAGACGTGTGTGTTTGGTGAGTGGCGCTCAAACGAGAGTGATTGTGTGGTTGGTGAATGGCGCATGGGTGCGGCCGCTGTTTGTCTGATTGTGTGGTTGTTGAGTGAGTGGTGCGTCAGAGACTGCAGTGTGCCGCTGGTTGGGTTGCATCATCATCCCCAGAGGATTCTTTAGGCGCATCAAAAGAGGATTCTTTAGGCGCATCAAAAGAGGATTCTTTAGGCGAATCAAAAGAGGATTCTTTAGGCGCATCAAAAGAGGATTCTTTAGGCGCATCAAAAGAGGATTCTTTAGGCGCATCAAAAGAGGATTCTTTAGGCGCATCACAAGAGGATTCTTTAGGCGCATCAAAAGAGGATTCTTTAGGCGCATCAAAAGAGGATTCTTTAGGGCGTGTAACATCGCCAACATTTTGCGAATTCGCCAAATGGCCGGAAATTCGTCGACCAAATGGTCGTCAAATCTTTCGCGAAGGCCGACGGATAGGTCGACAATAGGGTCGACCAGGATTCTGTAGATTTGCAGATGTGACAACTTTGAGGGCCAATTTGCAGGCCGATGTCTCAAAGGTGTCACATTTGCAGTCGCCCAATCCGACTGAAATGCGCGACAGTGTCGCCCATTTGCGCCCCGAACTGGAACATTTCGCGTCCAGGGTTTTTATGGGTTGGGGGTCGTACGTTCTGTCGCCATGAGCAGTGCGCGACGGTACCCCCCTGTCGCACGGACGCGTCGGATTCGTGGCTGTTTTCGAGTCGACCCGGTCTCGGCCCTTTCAAACGGCCTTCAAATTCGCCAATTTTTACCGCAATTCACGAGTCTCGCCTAAATTCAACGACCGTCGTTATGTGGTTACTTTCGCCAAAAACGGCCCGACGGATTTTCCCGAAAATTGTAAGTTTGGCGATGTGACACACCCTTAGGCGCATCAAAAGATGATTCTTTAGGCGCATCAAAAGATGATTCTTTAGGCGCATCAAAAGAGGATTCTTTAGGCGCATCAAAAGAGGATTCTTTAGGCGCATCAAAAGAGGATTCTTTAGGCGCATCAAAAGAGGATTCTTTAGGCGCATCAAAAGATGATTCTTTAGGCGCATCAAAAGAGGATTCTTTAGGCGCATCAAAAGAGGATTCTTTAGGCGCATCAAAAGAGGATTCTTTAGGCGCATCAAAAGAGGATTCTTTAGGCGCATCAAAAGAGGATTCTTTAGGCGCATCAAAAGAGGATTCTTTAGGCGCATCAAAAGAGGATTCTTTAGGCGCATCAAAAGAGGATTCTTTAGGCGCATCAAAAGAGGATTCTTTAGGCGCATCAAAAGAGGATTCTTTAGGCGCATCAAAAGAGGATTCTTTAGGCGCATCAAAAGATGATTCTTTAGGCGCATCAAAAGAGGATTCTTTAGGCGCATCAAAAGAGGATTCTTTAGGCGCATCAAAAGATGATTCTTTAGGCGCATCAAAAGATGATTCTTTAGGCGCATCAAAAGAGGATTCTTTAGGCGCCTCAACAGATGATTCTTTAGGCGCCAAAAGATAAACTTCTAGGCGCCTCAAAAGACGTGTGTGTTTGGTGAGTGGTGCGTCAGATACCGCACTGTGGGGCTGGTTGGCTTGCATCGTCATCCCCCATCATCATCATCCCCCATCATCACCATCCCCCATCATCACCATCCCCCATCATCACCATCCCCCATCATCACCATCCCCCATCATCATCATCCCCCATCATCACCATCCCCCATCATCACCATCCCCCATCATCACCATCCCCCATCATCATCATCCCCCATCATCATCATCCCCCATCATCATCATCCCCCATCATCACCATCCCCCATCATCACCATCCCCCATCATCACCATCCCCCATCATCACCATCCCCCATCATAATCATCCCCCATCATAATCATCCCCCATCATACTCATTCCCCATCATAATCATCCCCCATCATACTCATTCCCCATCATAATCATCCTCCATCATACTCATTCCCCATCATAATCATCCCCATCATCATCATCATCCCCCATCATCATCATCCCCCATCATCATCATCCCCATCATCACCATCCCCCATCATCACCATCCCCCATCATCACCATCCCCCATCATCACCATCCCCCATCATCACCATCCCCCATCATCACCATCCCCCATCATCATCATCCCCCATCATACTCATCCCCCATCTTACTCATTCCCCATCATAATCATCCCCCATCATAATCATTCCCCATCATCATCATCCCCCATCATCATCATCCCCCATCATACTCATCCCCCATCATAATCATCCCCCATCATAATCATCCCCCATCATCACCATCCCCCATCATCATCATCACCATCTCCTGCCTCCTCTACTCCCCCCCATTCCTTCCCCTACCCTACTGTCCCTCCTGTTAGCTATAGGCACGCCTAATATAAGCTCTTCCTCCCTTCCCCTCACACCCCCGCCTCTGCCCCTTTTCCCCCCATCCCTCCCCCTCCCACCTTCCCATCTTCCCCTCCCTCCGCCTCTCCTCCACTCGCCCCCTGCAGAGGACGCATGCAGCCAGCAGGACAGCAATCCGTGTGCGGTCGGCACGTGCATTAACAACTTTGAGGGCGGTTACTTTTGTGTCTGTCCGTGGGGATTCAAGCAAGGGCTTCGTCCCACCGGTGCTGCCACATGCGTCCCGAGTAAGTGTTCTAACGGGCGGCTACTCTTGTCTTTTGTTTCCCATGTTCTTAAGTGGGCGGCGCTCCCACATGCGACCCAATACGTGTTCAAATGGCCGGCTCCTCTTGTCCTTTTGGGATTCATGTTCTTTCAGGAGCCACAGAAAATCGTATTTGTTTAATCCCTGACCCATGGTTGCCCCTTTTGAGGCCCCTCAAGTCATGGTTGCCCGTTTTTCTCCCTTGTGTTTTTCTCGCATCCCAATCGCCTCTCCTCCTCCTCCTCGCCTCTCCTCCTCCTCCTCGCCTCTCCGCCTTCTTGCCTCTCACTCACCTATCTGCACTACTTCGTCCACCCCACCTCCCTGCAGCCATCTACCCCACCTACACCGTCTCCTTCCCAATCAACATCGACTCGTCGCTCGTCGTCCCCCTTCTGAGTCGACTCGAAACGGCTTTTGATTCTACTCAAAACTCATGAGTTGAATTGAAAGTCATTATGAGTCGACTCAAAAGTCGCTGTTCCCTCGTCTTCCCCGTTTCCCAACCCTAGCCTGCCCTGTCTTCCCCCCCCTTCCAACCAACCCCCTCCCTGCTGCCATCTACCCCACCTAGAGCTCGCTCTGATATATTGATCATGGTGTTATTTTGTTATTCCGCCGTGTTCAGAGCGAGTTACACTTTAGGTTTTAGTTTATTTTCGTTTCGTAGCTCTTCGCTTAAACTGAACTGAACACGCCCTAAGTTCAATTAGGGTTTTCCTACCCTCTCCTTCAATCATCTCTACATCGTTTCTAATACACACCGTCTTCTTTTGAGACGACTCAAAAGTCGTCCCCTTCAATTATCTCTACATCGTTTCTAAAACACACCGTCTTCTTCCCGATTGATGTCGACTGCCCACTCGTCTTCCCACTTCCTCATCTCCAGCCTCCTCCGTTGTTTCACCTCTCCACCCTCTCCCTTCCCCCTCTCCCCCATCTGCAGCCACCACCCGCACCTACAAGCTCTCCTTCCCGATTGTCGTCTACTGCTCGCCCGTCTACCAGCTCTACGGCCTCACAGAGAAAGAATTTCTTGCCCAGAACCTGCAACTGGTGAGCTCCCTCTTTAGCGGGCCTGACTCAGGGCTGTCCCTTTTCACCTTCTTCGTTCCGCTCGTCTGCCAGCTCTACCGCCTCAAAGAGGAGGCTTTTGTATTTTTGAGACGTCTCAGAAATACATTGTATACACGTGGCTTCGTTCCGCTCGTCTGCCAGCTCTACGGCCTTAAAGAGGAGGTTTTTTTCGCTCACAAGGCATCGAGCACTGCTATAGCATTCCGGCCTACATGGCAGTGAGCGTGGCATCGCCCCTCGCGGGGGCTGTGCACTGCTGCAGGTGCTGTTATCAGTAAACAGGTGGGCTGCGGAGGTCTTATGTCCATCAACTTAGGTGGTTCTAGGACGACAAGTCAAACTCCATGGGGGCTGTGCCCTGCTGCGCGCTCTACTACTCGTGGTGGACGGCAAACGACACCCCATCCCATGGTCCCACCCCACCCACAGGTGATGGTGCACTTGTTAATGTTAGCCCTCAATCTCACATTTGTACTTGTACTTTTTATATCCTAGTTTAGTGTAGTTTGCACTTAGTGTTTGGTTGGGTGTACACCCACATCCCAACCAAATCCAAATGTGATCTCCAAGCAATCTCCAACCCACCAATTGGAGATTGCCTTGGGATTACCCCCAATTCCCTAGGATTGCCCCCGATTCTCTCCCCACCCTTACCTTGCCCATTTCCAATGTACTTAAAGAGCCTTGAGCTCATAACTAATGTATGGATTCTAAGCTCAAGTTCTAACAGCACTTGCCGCCGGGTCTACCACTCGTGAACTGGTCACTGATGCAACTCACACCCCATCCCACGGTCCCACCCCACCCACAGGGGATGGTGCACTTGCTGGGTCTACCACTCGTGAACCGGTCGGTCACTGATGCAACTCACACCCCATCCCACCCACGGTCCCACCCCACCCCACCCACAGGGCATGGGGGAGTGTGTTTCAACGACACACCAGTGAGCGTGGCTCTGAGGTTTCTCAAAATCCAATCCACCCCACCCACAGGGCACGGGGGAGTGTATTTTAATCAGGTACGACACACCAGTGAGCGTGGCGCCACCCCTGACGGGGGCGGTGCACTGCGTGCTCTTCTACCCGTGGACGATACAGGACACGTGTGACAGCCTGGCAAGCACGCTCTCGCTCACAGTGGCCGATTTGCTGGCTCTCAACCCCGGGATCAGCTGCGATAGATACTCCTGGAAATCTCCGCGCGTGAACCAGCAGGTGAGATGCGGTGCAGTGCGGTGTGCTGGGCACGTGTGAGAGCATCATAGCGGATCTTGCTTTCTCAACAACACTACCTTCTTCTATGATCATGCTTTCTCCACTCGCCGGCACATTTTCTCCCACTCCTCCTCCCCACCCCCTTCCCCACCTGCTCCCCTTCCCTGCTCTCCTGCTTGCTCCCCGTCTTCCTCTCTCAATCCACCACGCAGCTGTGTGTGGTGAAGGGCAGCGGAGAGAAGGACGTACCAAAGCTGCCCATGTGCACTAGATGGTACACCGTGCGCGCAGGGGACACGTGTGGGAGCATCATGAGGGATCACTCGCTCAACCAAACCGCCTTCTTCTCGTTCAACCCGGGGGTGGTCTGCAGCCGCCTCTTCCCGTCGTTTGAAGGCTCTCGCGTCGGGTGGAATGGGGAAGGCGTGCAGGTGAGGAGTGGGGAGCAGGTGAGGGGTGGGATGCGGTGATGGCAGGTGAGGGAATGGGGAGTGAGTCTCCATGTCAGCTCCTTGCTCAACCCGGGGGTGGTCTGCAGCCGCCTCTTCCCGTCCTTCGAAGGCTCTGGCGTCGGGTGGAATGGGGAAGGCGTGCAGGTGAGGAGTGGGGAGCAGGTGAGGGGTGGGATGCGGTGATGGTAGGTGAGGGAATGGGGAGTGAGTTTTTATGTCAGCTTCTCGTTCAACCCAGGGGTTGGGCTGCGACCGCCTCTTCCCGTCGTTCGGAGGCTCTGGCCTCGGCTGGCATGGGGAAGGTGTGCAGGTGAGCGGTGGCGAAGAGGTGAGGGGTGGAGTGCGGTGATGGAGGATGGGAGAGAGGATGGGATGAGGTGTGATTGCTCCCTGCTTTGTGTTCCCCTCCACCGGGGGCTCTGGCTTGGGCTGGAGTGGGGATGGCGTGGATGCATACCTCGCGGGTTCCCCCAGCGCAATCACCCCATCTTCCCCCCACTAAAATGCACCCATCCATCCTAGAGTGCACTCGATGAATGATACACCGTCCACGCCCATCCTCCCTACCACATGTGTGTGTGGATGCATACCTCGAGGGTTCCTCTAGTGCAGTCGAACCTCGCTCAGTCCGCGAGCTTCCTTCCACGCTCTTCCCCTCCACCCTCTCCTCTCCCTCCTCCTCCTCCTCCTCCTCCTCCTCCTCCTCCTCCTCCTCCTCCTCCTCCTCCTCCTCCTCCTCCTCCTCCCCCCCATCCTCCTCCTCTAATTCGTCCCTCTCAACACGGGGAACATTGCACGGCCTCCACCAATCATCAGTCTCCCTGCCTCGCCTCCCCACCCTCGTTCCTTCTCACTCTGCACGCTCATCGATGGGCCGCCTGCTGGCGGTGTCTGAGAAACAGTGCATGAAGTCTTACTCGGTGAAGAGGGGGGACTTCTGTGCGCGCATCATAGCGCTCAAGTTCCAGAACAGTGGGAAGAAGCTAGCAGACCTGAACAACGGATACATGTGCAACGATGCCAGGCTCTATGTGGGGCTGAGCCTCTGCAGGCGCTGATAACAAACAGGCTCGTAATGACCCTGCATCTGGAGGTGTAGGATTTGTTACGATAAGGAATTGACCTAGCGTTCCTGTACGTAACAAAGGCAAAGCACTACGGAGGATGAAAATGAAGGGTCGAGATGTTCCGAAGGGACGGAAACGGTTGAAACATTGAGTCCGTCGCAAGCAGATGCATCGGTGAGGAAAAAGGTGGGAACAGGTTCAAAACAGGTTTCTGCGCAGCACGGTTAAAGCAGCGGTATACATTTGACAGGGCCAAAGCCCAAAGTTTATAAATGGTACAGCCTGGTAACCAAATTACAACCTGCACAGCGGGAAAGTCAAGCGGCGTGCCTCCACTCCCCTGCTAACGCTCACCACGGGACCAAAAGTTATAGTTTTGCCAAAAGTATACTCGATCCAATTCCTGCGTAGCCCATTCGCCCACTCCAAATGCATACGTGACTACTCCAGCATAAGAAACGGACGGCGACCATGGCGTGGCGCTTACGTCTAGGTCACACGCCTGGGAGCCCTCCTAGGCGTACCAGAGCACGCACTAATCAGGGCGATAGAGTTTAGGGTAAACGTCTAGCTCGCGCCACGGTAGGAAATCCGCCGCCACGCAAGCACACGAGCAGCCTCGCGTAGGATCCCAGCCTATCTCTAGTTATATCCTCCGACATTTCGCCGTGCCTTCCCCTCGCGGCCTCGACCCGTTGCTGCCTCATCGCTGCGCACTGACGCCGGACCACGCCAGAGCTCAAGCCGTCGCCGCGCCGCCGAAAGGCGCCGTATAGAGCCAGGGTTCGAAATCCCGCCACGCCTATATTAGGTGATTTCTTCGCGCCGAGCTGCATCCCCTCGTCGCCCAAGGCGGCTTGGCTTCGCCGCATCACGCTGGTTCCTCACGCCACTGAGAATACGACGAGCGACTCCGTAGAGTGCCTAGTAGCGGCACGCACTAGCAGAATCGCAGTTGCCGCGCGCAGCTCTGTGGAAGGGCGTGCCCGTTTCCGCACTAGCTGATCAAGCCACAGGTGTGTTCGAGACACGGAACCGAAACGGCCACACGGTCTCGCTAGCTTCGCTCTCCAACCCTACTCCCATCCCGCCTCACTACGGGATCCTATTACCGCCTCCCAAACTCCCCTATCCGCCTCTCAATGTCCCCTTCCCCCATGCACTTCTCGCCTTCCAGCTTCGCGTTTTCCATTGCCCGCCTCTCAATCTCCCCTTCCCACCATCCGTACAAAACTCCAGCTGACTCCCTTCCTCCCCTTCCCGCATCCCGTTCTCCCCTTCCCAAGTCCCGATCCTCTTCCCGCCTCCCGTTCTCCCATTCCCGCCATGCGACGTACTCTCCCCGCCTCCCGATCTCCTCTCCCCGCCTCCCGATCTCCTCTCCCCGCCTCCCGATCTCCTCTCCCCGCCTCCCGATCTCCTCTCCCCGCCTCCCGTTCTCCTCTCCCCGCCATCCGTTCTCCTTTCCCCGCCTCCTGATCTCCTCTCCCCGCCTCGTTCTCCTTTCCCCGCCTCCCGATCTCCTCTCCCCGCCTCCCGATCTCCTCTCCCCGCCTCCCGTTCTCCTCTCCCCGCCTCCCGTTCTCCTCTCCCCGCCTCCCGTTCTCCTCCCCCCGCCTCCTGTTCTCACCACCCTCCCTTCCCTCTCCCTTCTCACCCTTCCCGCCCTTCTCTCCCTGCCCTCCCTGCCCTCCCTTCCATACCTTCTCTCCCTTCCCGCCCTTCTCTCCCTTCCCTACCGTCTCTCCCTTCCCTCCCTTCTCTCACCACCAACCCATCCCTCGCCCTTCTCTCCCTTCCCGCCCTTCTCTCCCTTCCCGCCCTTCTCTCCCTTCCATCCCTTCTCTCCCTTTCCGCCCTTCTCTCCCTAACCTCCCTTCTCTTCATTCCCCCCCTACTCTCCCTGAGTCCCCTTTTCGAACCTTCCCTCCCTTCCCTCCCTTCTCTCTTTTCTCCCTTCCCGCTCTTCTCTCCCTTCCCCCCCTTCTCTCCCGTCTCTCCTTTCACTCCCTTTCATCCCTTGCCTCCCTTGACTACCTTCCCTCCCTTCTCTACCTTCCCTCCCTTCTCTCCCTTAGATAGAAGTCGCTCCGTTCCCTCCCTTTCTCACCCTTCTCTCCCTTGTCTCCCTTCCTCGCCCTTCACTCCCTTCCCTCCCTTCTCTCCCTGCCCTCCCTTCTCTCCCTGCCCTCCCTTCTCTCCGTTCTCTCCCTCCCCGCCCTTCTCTCCCTACCCTCCCTTCTCTCCCTTCCCCCCCTACTCTCCCTGAGCCCCCTTCTCTCCCTTCCCTCCCTTCTCTCCCTTCCCTCCCCTCTCTCCCTTCCCTCCCTTCCCTCCCTTCTCTCCCTTCCCTCCCTTCCCGCTCTTCTCACCACCTCTTTGATATGCCTTCCTGTCCCCCATCCTTCCTTCCTTACGCACTCCTCCTGCCATTCTCTCCTCTTGCAATCCTCACTGCCATCCCTCCTTTCCGCATATCCTGTAACCAAGCCCCCTTCGATTCTCTTGTCGTCACCTCCCAAGCAACAGCGGCATTGCCATGGGAAATTTCAACATGCATCTCCCACCTACCCCCACCTACTCCTATCTCACCTCCCCTCCCCCTACCACCTACTCCTATCTCACCTCCCCTCCCCCTACCACCTACTCCCATCTCACCTCCCCTCTCCCCCCCTTACCACGGGATTTCAGCCCACCACGCCTCCCCATACCACCTACTCCCATCATTGCTCCCCTCCCCCTACCACATACGACATGCTCCCATCTGACCTCCCCTTCCCCTACCCACCTACTCCCTTCTCCTCTCCCCTCCCCTTACCACCTCTCCTGGCCCTACCAGGCACTCCTTGCTCACCTCCCCTCCCCCTACCAGGGGCACTCTTCTCATCTCCCCTCCCCTACCCCTTCTTTCCCCCTCCTCTACCAAGGGCGTTCTGCTCACACCCTGCCCCACACTCCTATTCTCCCATGTTTGGTCCCCCAGCATTCCCTTGCTCGGTTTCTGTGCTTGTGTTGCAGTTGGGGAGCCTTCCCGACTGGACATCCTACTATCTGCCCCTCACAGGGCACATAAGAGCCAGCAACCTGGGCATGGATAGGCAGCGATGGCAATGGGAATGGCAGGGGAGCGTGGCAACGGCCACGAGTAAAGTAGCGTCAAGCCTCTTGGTCACTCGGCCCGTCCTTATATGGTCCAAAACATTAGCACATAAACACACCCTCTCACATCCCCTTTTAGGCATTTCTTACTGACCCAACACATGTTTCAGTGTTTTTTATCAACTGGTTATTGACTGCGGTGTTCTGTGACATCGTTGCAGGTTGCTTACATCACCAGTTCTATAGCATGAACGCTACTATAACACAGTACGTAATCAAATCAGTTTGGTTACAAGTAAAAGCAGAGGCAATCCATCCATACCAACTTAGCAATGTACGATTGGTCAAGTGTGCAGCCAACTTCTACTTATAGGCGATGCGGGAAATGTGACGGTGCTGGCAGGCAATGGGGAGGATAGCCGAACGAGGAAAGGGTGCACGCAGCAGCTCGCCTTTCCAGGACACCACAAGCTTTTGGGGCTGCCAGGCGGACCAATCATTGGAGGTCAACTCCAGCAGCACCACATTCATTTCTGCATAGCAAATCTGCCCGTTGCCGTCCGTCATACTGCCCCAAACCTGCAGGAGGGATGGGGAGAGAACGGATGCGTAGAGGATGGATGGGGGGAGAGAAGGGATGCGTAGGGGATGGATGGGGAGAGAAAGGGAAGAGAGGCAGAGATGGGGTGAGGCAGAGATGGGGTGAGGCAGAGTTGGGATGAGGCAGAGATGGGGTGAGGCAGAGATGGGGTGAGGCAGAGATGGGGTGAGGCAGATGTTGGAAACAAGTAGTTCTAAGCGCCTCTGTCGTGTCGAAACACCAAGTCAGAAGCGAAGCAAAGCATATCGAAACACCGGCGAGTCAACCCTCGGAGGTTGAGCAGTTGCTGGAGGTTACACGAAAGTCAAAGGTCAGCGACCTTTTACCTGACAAGTACAGCACGACAGCAAGGACACACAACTGACTCGCTACAGAGCAGTTGCCCGAGTCGTCACTGTATCGAACCGCAACAGCAACAGTAAAGTAGTTACAACCGTGTCTCTTCGTATTCCTTGTACTCTTATATATAATCTTGTATCTCTTTGCTTTAATTAATCTACTTTGCCCTCACATACTAGCGCAAGGTGGTTCAAGCACTTCTCATTAAGCTTCCGCTGATTACAACAAATCCTACCCAGAGTTCACTCCTGCAAAGATCCTAAGGGCTTTTATCAGCCCAACAGCAGAGATGGGGTGAGGCGGAGATGGGGCGAGGCGGAGATGGGGCGAGGCGGAGATGGGGCGAGCAGCGCGTTGGTAGTACGGTACTGGAGGTGGAAAGTGGAAACTGTGGGTACGGGGAGGGAGGGTAAGCAAGGGAAGGGAGCATAAGGAGGGGATGCAGGGGGGGAAAGGAGGGGAAGCACGGGGGGAAAAGGAGGTGAAGCAGGGGGGAAAAGGAGGGGAAGCAGGGAGGAAAAGTAGGGGATGCAGGGGGGGAAAGGAGGGAGGGGGGAAAAGGAGGGGAAGCAGGGGGAAAAGGAGGGGAAGCAGGGAGAGAAAGTAGGGGATGCAGGGGCGGAAAGAAGGAGAAACATGGGGGGAAAGGAGGGAATGCAAGGGGGGGAAAGGAGGGGAAGCAGTGGGGGAACGGAGGAGGGGATGCAAGGGGAGAAAGGAGGGGAAGCAGTGGGGGAACGGAGGAGGGGATGCAAGGGGAGAAAGGAGGGGAAGCAGTGGGGGAACGGAGGAGGGGATGCAAGGGGAGAAAGGAGGGGAAGCAGTGGGGGAAAGGAGGGGCAGGGGCGGAAAGGAGGGGAAAAAGGGGGGGAAAGGAGGGGACGCAGGGGAGGAAAGGAGGGGAAGCAAGGGAACGGAGGAGGGGATGCAGGGGTGGAAAGGAGGGGATGCAAGGGGGGGAAAGGACGGGAAGCAAGGGAGAAAAGGAGCGGCCGGGGAAAAAGGAGGGGAAACACGGGGGGGAAAGGAGGGGATGGAGGGGGGAAAAGGAGGGGAAGCAAGGGGGGAAAGGGGTGGATGCATGGGGAGAAAGGAAGGGATGCAGGGGGGGGAAAGAGGGGATGCAGGGGGGAAAAGCAGGGGAAGCAAAAGGGGAAAACAAGGGGAAGTAGGGGGGGAATTGGGGGAAGGGAGGGCGCAGGGGGGAAACTCATGGCATTTCTCTGGCGCGCGCGTGTCTGGAACCGCGTGCTGTTTGCTGGCGCGCGAGCGTCACCTGCGCTCGATGTGCTGGCGGCGTCGTTAAGAAGGCGCGTGCCGCTTTGCTGCGCGCGTTTCGCTGGCGCGCGCTGCTCTGCTGAGCGCGCCTACGCGCGCTGTGCTGGCGCGTGCGGAATGCCAGCATAGCTGGCGCAAGTTCCGCGCGCGAAACGCCAGCATAGCTGGCACAAGTTCCGCGCGCGAAACGCCAGCATAGCTGGCGCAAGTTCGGCGCGCGAAACGCCTGCATAGCTGGCGCAAGTTCGGCGCGCGAAACGCAAGCATAGCTGGCGCAAGTTCCGCGCGCGAAATGCCAGCATAGCTGGCGCAAGTTCCGCGCGCGAAACGCCAGCATAGCTGGCGCAAGTTCCGCGCGCGAAACGCCAGCATAGCTGACGCAAGTTCCGCGGCGAAACGCCAGCATAGCTGGCGTGACGCTCGCAGGTGGCGCCTGTAATGCGCATGGCTAATTAATCACCCGCGTCTATGTATGTGGTCGCGGTGCTGGTCTAGCACCCTCCGGCCCGCGCCTACGTTATTTCTACCTATTCTATTAGCTATTAGTCGCGACGGTATAGAATACTGCTGGTCTATGCTCCTTAGTGTGAGGTGGAAGGTGAATTCGGTGACGGGAGCCCTTTCCCATTTTCTGAATCACAACCTTCCCAAGCCTGGTTCCCTGACGACATAACCGCCCCAGTTGTTCGCCAACACTCTCGCAATTCTGTTTTTCTTTTCGTTGAGGCGAAATCGCATTGCACACTGTACAGAAACAACAGTACTGTCAAATGTATACTCCTGCTTTAAAGCCCGCATGCAAAATAGTGACCCCCCCCTTCTAGTTGGGTCCACTTGATATACCGATTCACAGGTTTTGTTTGTAGGGTGTAATGTGTTGCAGTTTTTCTTTTTTTCCTGATACTAACCATCTTTCCGATTTTGATCGAGGAATCTGGTCGCAGGGTTGGGCAAATCTGTCGGAAGGGGTGCCAATATCACATTCGTGGCACATTCACATTCGTGCCACATTCACATTTGTTCCACATTCAAATTCCCAGTTCTACGTCGAAGGAATTCCGCATCCAGAGACAAACCCTTGCATCGGCAGCGCCTGAGACTTCAGCAAAAAGCGAGAGCTGTAGCAATGGGTTTAGGGGGTGTGAATTATGCAGAGAAAAACAAACAGGAGAAGGTGATAAACAAAGTGAGTCAAGGAGTCGGAAGAGGAGAGTGAGAGGCCGACGGAAACACGGACGCGAGGGGAGAGAATAAGGGGGCAAAGGTTACTGGTTGGGTGATGGGAGGGGCATTGGGGAGGGGACGGCATGAGGGCGACGGTAAGGGACGGGAGGTGCGAGCGCGAAGGCGACGGGACGGGACGGGAGAACACGAGGGCAACAGGAAGGGACGGGAGGTGCGAGCGCGAAGGCGATGAGAGACGAGAACGTGAGAACGAGGGAGATGGGAGGGGAGAATCTGCGTGCGAAGGCGATGCGAAGACGGGAGAACTTGAGCGCGATGGCGAGGGGAGGGGAGAACGTGTGGTGCTTGGGAGAAGGTAGGGGAGTATCTGAACGCGAAGGTGATAGAAGGGGAGACCATGAGCGCGAAGGTGGTGCGAAGATGGGAGAAGATGAGCGCGATGGCGGGGGAAGGGGAGAACGTGAGCTCAATGGCGGGGGAAGGGGAGAACGTGAGCGCGATGGCGGGGGAAGGGGAGAACGTGAGCTCGATGGTGACGGGAAGGGGAGAACGTGAGCTCGATGGCGGGGGAAGGGGAGAACGTGAGCGCGATGGCGGGGGAAGGGGAGAACGTGAGCTCGATGGTGACGGGAAGGGGAGAACGTGAGCTCGATGGCGGGGGAAGGGGAGAACGTGAGCGCGATGACGGGGGAAGGGGAGAACGTGAGCGCGATGGCGGGGGAAGGGGAGAACGTGAGCTCAATGGTGACGGGAAGGGGAGAACGTGAGCTCGATGGTTACGGGAAGGGGAGAACGTGAGCGCGATGGCGGGGGCAGGGGACAAGCACAAGCGCGGTGGCAGCTTGTGAAGGTTCTGCAAAGAGCGAGAGAGGTTAGGATAAATTGTCGTTGCGTATGAAGACTTTGGGCCTGAGAGAGGGCGGCAAAAACGCTGAGAAAACCAGGGAAAAAACAGAGAGAAACAATGTGAGGGAAGAGGGGAGAGAGGGCGACGGAAACATGGACGAGAGCCCGTTTCGAGGGCGAGATGAGAGGGGAACACGAGGGCGACGGGATGGGAGTGGAGAGATGATAGGCAACGGGAGGGCGGCTCAGAGCGAGCGCAAAGGCGACGAAGTGGGTAATGGGAGGGGAGTGAAGAAGGAAGCCGCGAGAGCGTTTCAAGGCCAGCGCCAGGGCGATGGGCGAGGAGAGTCGACTGCGCGCAACGAGAGGGCATTGCGGGCTTAGGGTGACAACGATGATGTGGGTAATAGGAGGGGAGACGTGGTAGGCGACGAGATTGCGCCTCGATTTCGAGGCGAGCGCATAGGCGACGAGGTGGGTGACGGGAGGGGAGAAAGCAAGGGCGACGAGAGGGCGTTTCAGGGCGAGCGAGAATGTAACGAAGTGGGTGATGGGAGGGGAAACGGGGAGGGTACGCGAAGTGCGACGGGTAAAGGGGGGGCGAAGGTAATGGCGAGGGAAAGGCGACATGGGCTGACGGCGACGCGGCGGTTGACGATTGTGCTACTGGCGGGAAAAATAGCACTGTGCTACTAGGCTACGTAATACTAAATCACGCACTCGTGCGAATAAACGCAGTCGTCAATAATTCTGTGCCTATGACACAAGCACATATGCTTTCCGCTGTGGAAAAAAACTAGCAAGGGAGTAGAAATCAGGGAGTTATGAACCCAGGACCAGCTTGATATTGAAGTTGGCCTTGCGATGGAAACCATCGCCAGGGAACGGTCGTGCAAGTGCTGGTCGCAGAAATGTGAGCGGGAAAGTCCATTCTGGCGGGAGCCACAACATCCCATTTTGGCGAGAGCCAATCACATGAGCTCACTCTGCCCGCACGTTTTGTTTCAAGCAGTGTTTTGTCAGACTTCTTTCATTCTCTCTTAGCTTTAAAAAATATTGTCGCAACACCTCTTTCAAGTTGGGACGGGGGTCACTATTTTGTATGCGGGCTTTAAAGTCTCTATGTAATAAGAGAATGCACCCTTTAGAGTCCATGGCTAACTAGGTCGTTTCGTATTCCTTCTGTGATCTTATATAAACTGTTGTATTTCCATTGTAATCTTATGGTTGTAGTCACTTATGTCAGTTAACTTTCTGTAAGAGGTATCATTATTAAACCAAAAAAAATGCTGTGGGCAACTGTGAGGCGCCTCAAAAGGTACAGGGTTTAGGGTTGCCTTAGTGATTAGTTTAGTGTACATTATTGCACTGAACAGCATATTTGCTGTGGAAAATTGTGGATCTCGGGTTGTCTTAGCGGAGCATTGGGGACGGGTTGATAGGGGCACGTGTTGATGGATGGTACCCACCTACTAGAGGCCTAGCTCAAAGAATCACACCACCACATCCACCCACATTCACACGCACACCCTCACCCTTACCCACACACCCACTCCCACATCCACACCCACCCACACACACACACACACACACACACACACACACACACACACACACACACACAGCCACACCCACACCCACAAACACACCAACACCACACACCCACACCCACAGGAACATGTGATTTTGAATCGATTACTGAGCCCACTACAACCCAGCTGAAGCTCCACTCCCATTCCCACCTGACCTACCACTCCCACCTAACCTCCCACTCCTCCCATCCCCCCTCATCTTCCTCCTCTGCCAGTCCCGCAGCTCCTTCTATCCAATGGACGCTAGGTGCGTGCACCGTGCACCTCATCTGGACCATCCACGATGCGCAGAGTGCGCCCCGCCACCCACAGGCAGGCAACAGGAAAGTCCGTCTGAGCCGAGCTCACCCCTCCCCTCCGCCTCTAATTCTGAACCCATGTAGACTCCAAATTTTCGAGTTCTCTACAACCGGGCTGACGCTTCTCCACCCTTACCCGAGCTGCCACTGCTCCCAGCCCTCATCATCCTCCTCTGCCAGTCCCGCAGCTCCTTCTTTCCGATCGAGGCCAGATGCACCTCATCTGGACCGTCAGCGATGCGCAGAGTGCGAGCTGCCGTCCACAGGCGGGCAAGAGGGAAGTCCGAGCTCACTCCTCCACCCCCGTGCACCTGGATCGCCCTGTCCAAAACTTTTTGAGCTGCCCGGGGGGCAGCCACCTGAAAGAATGTGAGATGGAAGGACGAAGCGGAGATCCAGGGAGTGATGCGGGGAAGCGGAAATCAAGGGGCTAATGAGAGGAGGTAGATACGAGTTTTGAGACGCTAAAGCACAAGAGATAGGTGTTAGAAATAGGCTGTCAACACTTCGTGTACTCTATTTTATATGCTGTAGGTTATTTGTAGGTTGGGTGTAGATTTATAATCCCAACCCTATCTGGTTGGGATTCCCCCGTAATCCAACAAATCTGCCAACTCATCATTGAAGATTTGTTTGGATTCCCATCCCATCCTTTCCCTAGCTTTGCTCAACCCAATCTTCGAGTATACATTTGTCATTCGGGTTTCGGGTTTAGGGAGTGTGCCTCACGGTTTTCCCACAAAGTGTCAAGTTCCTAAGGATTTTGAACCCCTCCTTTCAAATGTATATTGAAGCTTTAAGGCCTAGTGCCTTCTTAATGAAACAATTCAAGCTCAGTTCTGACAGAAGGGAAGGAGATTTGATAGTAAGAGGAGAGCAAGAACTCAGCCAGTCATGCTTGAGAATTCTTAAAAGTGACACCTTGCTGCTCGTGCCAACTCTGCAGTAGCAGCAGCAGCAGCAGCAGCAGCAGCAGCACCTCCTTACTGCATTCTCTCTGACATGAGTGCCTCTCACTCACCTTAACCATGGTAATGGCAATCCGTGCTTCCTTGTTCCCGTGTGCATCCAACTCAGCAGCCGCCTGAAGCAGCAGCAGCACCAACACCTACAGCAACAGCGGCACAGCATTTTGCTCGATTCTCTGTGACCACCCAACCAAACACAAAGTGCAACATGTGAGATTGAGGGCTAACACTAACAGAGGAGTGCATAAAGAACAGGATGAAGGGTGGTGGTGAATGGTGGTGAATGGCGAATTGCGCCGTCATTACCACTTTTCACCCTCCGCCCCTCTCCTCCCCCCCCCCCCCCCCCCCTTCCCCCCCTGTCCCCCCCCCATTACCACCTCTCTTCCACTTCACTCATATCAGCCTCGAACCAGCGGACCACCATTGGCTAAGGAGCATCATCCCTGTTCCTTCCCATGCTCGCCCAGGGAAATCCAGTCCCGAAGCTCCTCAGGTCAGGGTGGTTTCAGAATTCACTTCAAGACCACCTGGAACACCTTATAGCGGGTACAGAAATTCACCTGCCCAGAAGGGCGGAGATCCCGAGAGCAGAATGTAGAGCACCACCCCCACGCTCCACAGGTCCGCCTCCGGGCCATAGCTGCCTCGGATCACCTCTGGCGCCATGTAGAACGCGCTGCCCGCTACTGTGTGCAGCGGAAGGCCTTGTAACGGGGATGGATGGTGGAGTGGTGAGGGTGGGAGTGGGGTGGGATGGGGGAGAGAGGGGGGAGGGCCGGATTGGGCGTGGGAGGAGGGGTAAGGGTGGAGGGGGGATTGGAAGGTAGTGAGTGAGGGAGGACGTGTGAAGAGTGGGAAAGAAAGGGTTGCAGGGAGAGAGGAAAAGGGCATTTGCATGAAGACTTTTGCATGAAGCAGTTCGCATGAGAAGCTGGCAAAGGAAGAACAGAAACCCGGGGTGCGAGGGGAGGTGGGTATGGAAAAAGGAGGGGGGGGAGTGGGGGGGAGAGGGCGGGGTAGGGGAGGGTGGGTGGGGGGGAAAGAGGGGGAGGGGAGTTTGCGAAGCGAATGGGTTGTTGGGGGGAGTGGGCTGTGACGGGTGGCAAGGCTTGCTTACCTGGCCTATAGAAGGCGGAAAGACCAAAGTCGACGGCTTTAAGCGGCGCGCCGTCCGCCTCGCTCGATACAAGAAAGTTCTCGGGCTTTAAGTCCCTGTGAATCACGTTGTTGGCGTGGCAATACCTCACCACCGATACAATCACACGGACCACTTCCGCTGCTGCGCGCTCGCTATAGTGTCCTCTCGCTATTATATGATCGAATAACTCGCCGCCTGTACAGAGCTCCATGACTATATACACCGCAGAATCGTCCTCATAAGCACCTTTCAGATAAATCACATTCGGGTGAACCGATAAGAGGTGTAGAATGGCGATTTCTCTCTTGATATCCTCTACGTCATCGCTCGTTATAAGCTGTTTCTTCGATACGAGTTTACATGCGTACTGTAGACCGGTACGCTTCTCCGTGCATACGTAAGTCACGCCAAACTGACCTCTTCCTAACTCCCGTCCGAAAATGAACAAATCGCGAACGTTTTCCGTCTCCCGGCCAAGTATGGAGTCCGTCAACTTGCCCGTCAGTTCGTTGCCGGTATCCCTCACTGTCGCCGGGTCCTTACTAGCATAAACAGGCGAAACGACTGACATTCTATCATCGCGTCTCGTTACCCGTTTCGCTAGCGACGTGAACCGTTTCGCGAAACTTCCATAGACGGACCCAGAGCGTCCTGAACCAGCAGCAGCTACAGAACCGTCGCGACGGCATTGTAACGAATGTGATAATGGCGAGAGATACTGCCCTCGCCCCCCTAGGGTAACCTCCACATGCAGAGCGAGAAGGCGAAGGGAATCCAGCATAGATACGAGAGGAGGTATCGTCCAGGCAGGCTTCCACCAATAGTATGCTTACTGTATCAGCTGTTTATTGGACTGGCTGCTGACGGCGCTAGGGACGGAGCTTCGCGATAACGCAATCAGAAAAGTTCCTCGAGATTGCTTCACGTCCCATGAGACTAGTGCAGTGTCGTAGTGCATTCTCCGATAATCTTCACGCCCAGGAAACACAAGCACACAATTCAGCTTAGTAAAATCCTGCTGTACGCGAAAGTATGTATAAAAAAAGACAGCCATCAAGCTCCAGCCACTCTAGACTCTTATTATTCTTTGTTACATTACAGACATACACACAGACACACACACAAATTCAAAGCCGTGCTCACTCACACTCATCACACTACCATACAACCATATGTGCTAAGCTAAACCACCTACTCCGCCAAAAACAAGACACACAAGCAATCAAAACACTACCAAACTTACTACACGGCATAAATACCCAGGCACGAAGCACACAGGGGAGCTTGATTTCTCCACGGGGACTTTCAACAAACTTGGGTTGCCGCAGATGGTGGCACATCACGCGGATCAACCCTCATACACGCGGAGCACACGGGAGCTCTAGTGACACCTGAAAGTAGCACGTGTTGGGCTGCCACAGGTGCCAGGTGGCACATCGCCATGAATCTAGGTGGTTTCTGTATCGCCTCAAACTACATCTCACCACACCAGTCACCAGTCATGAACGCGGAGCACACGGGAGCTCTAACGACACCTGGAAGTAGCACTTATTGGGCTGCCTCAAGTAATGCACATCCCCATGCATTTGGCGCAGCAGCGAGCGGTACGAGACGAGCGCATGCGCCTGGTACGATGCCTCAGGTGAATCCTCAGGGCACGAGGCAAGGCCGAACATGTGCTGGATTATGGCGTCGTCGATTCCCGGCCCTGATTGGATGATCCTGTGGGGCCAGGATCACGGGGGGAAAGGGAGGGGGTAGCAGAGGTGGAATAGAGAGGTGAGGCAGGAAGGATGCTGTTTTACACATAAGCTTGTGAGTTGCTAACGTGCAATGACGAAAAGGAAAGGAAGATTGTGATTGTCATTCCTCAGAGAACGGAAAGGTGGAGGGGAAATGGATGGTGGAATTGGATGGGAAAGGTGGGAAGAAGGGAGGGAGGTGGGTGCAATCGTCGTCGAGAAACGGTTCTCTGAGTTCCAACCAGGACCATGGTAATCTCCTCCTCCCTCACGCAATCCATCCCTCATCCCCTGGTACCCAGTGGTAAGTCTCATGCTACCATGAGACGGGGAAAGGGGCGAGGCACAGCGCACGCCACCACTCACCGCAGCTCCATCTCCACAGCCAGAATGCGGCTGGGGATGGGCGCCAGCTGCAGCACCACACATCACTCACCCACCATTGCCCCACCACTCACCCCACCACTCACCCCACACCACCACTCACCGCACACCACCACTCACCGCAGCTCAATCTCGACAGCTAGCATGCGGCTGGGGCTGGGCGCCAGGTGCGCCACCAGACCCCAGACTATCCATTTTCAGGTGCCTTGCCTCATCACTCCCCCTCATCACTCCCCCTCAGCAATCCCCCTCACCACTCCCCCTCACCACTCCCCCTCACCAATCCCCCTCATCACTCCCCCTCACCACTCCCCCTCACCAATCCCCCTCACCAATCCCCCTCATCACTCCCCCTCACCACTCCCCCTCACCAATCCCCCTCATCACTCCCCCTCACCACTCCCCCTCACCAATCCCCCTCACAACTCCCCCTCACCAATCCCCCTCACAACTCCCCCTCACCAATCCCCCTCACAACTCCCCCTCACCAATCCCCCTCACCACTCCCCCTCACCAATCCCCCTCACCACTCCCCCTCACCAATCCCCCTCACCAATCCCCCTCACCAATCCCCCTCACCACTCCCCCTCACCAATCCCCCTCACCATTAACCCTCCCCCCCACCACTGACCGCAGCTCAATCTCCACAGCCAGCATGCGGCTTCTGAGGCAGATTGCAAAGTGCTTTCGAGGTGATTGTTCACGCGCCTCAAGAACACTCACCGCAGCTCAATCTCCACAGCCAGCATGCGGCTAGGGCTGGGGACCAGTTGTGCCACCAAAATCCTAATTTTGCCCCTTAATTTCCTCCCCCTCACCACCCCCCCTCGCCCCTACCACTCACCGCAGTTCAATCTCGACAGCCAGCATGCGGCTGGGGCTGGGCGCCAGCTGCAGACGAACGGTGCCGCCCGACGGTGTGTACTTGACGGCCGCTACAGTGATGCCGCCCAGCACCTGCTGCAGCAGCAGCTGGTTGCCCACGAGGCGCGTGGACGCGACATCTGGCAGCGCGTCATAGGTGAGATCGATGGAGCGGCGAATGGCGTGCTGCATGGCCTGGCAGACCGCTGTGTTGATGAGAGAGGCCATGGTGAAGGGCGCTGATGGCGTGAATGGTAGCATGCTGGGGGGGAGAGGGGGGGGGGGTTGGAAGGGAGAGAGGGGTTGGGAATACTTGGCATGCTCCATGCATGGCCTGGCAGACCGCTGTGTTGATGAGAGAGGCCATGGTGAAGGGCGCTGAGGGCGTGAATGGCAGCATGCTGTGAAGAGGGTGTGGGGTTGTAGGGGGGTAGCAGGGACAGGCAGGGTAGCAGGGGGAGTGGAGGGGGACAGGGCATGAAGGCGAATGGCATGTTGCATGGCCTGGCAGACGGCTGTGTTGATGAGATAGGCCATGGTGAAGGGCGCTGAGGGCGTGAATGGGAGCATGCTGAAGGGGAGGGGGAGAGGGGTTGGGTACAGAGGACAGGGACGGGAGGGGGTGGGGGGTGCGGATGCAGTTCGGTTGGAGAGAGGATGAGGGGAAAAGGAATGAAGGTGGATGGTATGATTTTTTAGGCGCCTCAAGAATGGTATGCTGCATGGCCTGGCAGACGGCTGTGTTGATGAGAGAGGCCATGGTGAAGGGCGCTGATGCCATAGTGAAGGGCCATGGTGAATGGTAGCATGCTGCAGTCGAATACCCCCACACTCTTGAGTCGGCTCAAAAGTCACCTTGCAGCGCATACCCGCATACTCCTCAGCACACCTGCATACCCAGAACAACCTCACTTCACCGCATAACATACCTGGGGTGCGAGAACACAGCAGCATCACCCCCGCCGCCGCCGCCTCCCTCCCCGCCGCCCAGCGGGTCCATCTGGGTGTGCAGCAGCCGCATCAGCTGCGCGTCGCACCGCGCCATCGCCTCCATAAACTGCCAAACCTTGCCGCCCGGGGCGGCGTGAGCGGAGGGCGAGGGCGTGGAGGCATCGAGCAGGGAGCGGTGCAGCAGGGAGCGTGCATGCACCATGCCGTGCACTGTCCCTGCCATGGCCTGCCGCACATACGCCAGCTGCTTGGAGTGACGCTCTATCAACTGGTGGATGGATGGTGCATTGGGGGAAAGAGAGGGGATCGTGCGAGGGCGGAAAGGGATGGTGGTGCCCCTGCCATGGCCTGCCGCAAATACGCCAGCTGCTTGGAATGACGCTCTATCAACTGAGGGTGGTGCATGGGATGGGGGGAGAGGGGGGGAAAGGTTGGTGATGTGGGTTGGAGAAGGGCTGGTGGGGCGTGGGAGGAAAGAATTGGTGGTGCGTGGAATCATGGGAACAATGGATATAGGAACGGAAGGCAGGCAGAAGAGGAGCAGAGGCTCAGCGCCTGCCACCCACATAAATGCAAAGACTCAATCTGAGTCGCTTTTGAGAATTCTCAAGAGCGACTCAGCGCCTGCATACCACACACATATATGCAAAGAATCCCCTCCACTCAGGCCCCACTCTCCCCACGAACCCCCCAACTCCTCTCCCTCTCCCCCCACCCTTTCCTTCCGCTCAAGCCGTCTGCCGCTCTTCCTCTCACCGCCTCTGCCTTGTGATGCACGGCCAGACTCTGTATGGGTTTTGCCACATGCACACATGCACACATGCACGCATGCACACATGCACGCATGCATGCATGCACACATGCACACATGCACGCATGCATGCATGCACACATGCACACATGCACGCATGCACACATGCACACATGCACACATGCACACATGCACACATGCACACATGCACGCATGCACACATGCACACATGCACACATGCACACATGGACACATGGACACACACCACACCACCTCCTTCCTCAGTCACCACCCCTCTTCACCCCCCGCTTCCCCCGACCCCCGTTTTAGTTCCCCTTCCAGCTGTTATTCCACTCACCCCCTCTGCCTTGTGCTGCACGGCCAGAGCCTGCATGAGCTCAGGGCTTGCCACGAGCACACATGGAAACATCTCCCTCAACTTATTCCACCCCCCCCCCCCCATTCCCACCAATCCCCCCATTTTTGTTCCACTCACCCCCTCTGCCTTGTGCTGCACGGTCAGAGCCTGCATGAGCTCAGGGCTTGCCACGTGGAGGAACCCAAACGCCCCTGCCGCCCGCCCGTCGCCGCCCTGCCGCTGCTGCACTGTCAGTAGCACCTCCACCATGCGACCCTGGCAGGGGGCACGGTGTAGGGGCAAGGAGGAGGACTTTAGAGAAACAAAGGAACGAATACATGAAACTGCTGCTGCACTGTTAGTAGCACCTCCACCATGCGACCCCGGGAGGGGGCAGGGAGTGAGTGAGGGGGGGAGAGGAGGGGGATAGGAGGTTGAAGGAACGAATACATGAAGCGAAACCGCTGCTTCACCGTTGTCAGTAGCCCGCGACAGCATGATGAGCAGATGCGTGAGCCAAGGGAAGGAGGAAAGGAGGTTGAATCAAACAGCACCTCCCTACCTTGGCGTTGCGGAAGGCAAAGTGCGTCTTCTCCTCCCCACCAGCGTCCTGCCCCGCCATGGTGGTAGTGGGTGGGTGAGGAGACTTGGCCTTTCCCCACACCTCCCTACCCGTCCTCCCTACCTTGGCATTGCGGAAGGCAAAGTGCATCTTCTCCTCCCCCCCAGCGTCCTGCCCCGCCATGGCCCGCGACAGCATGATGAGCAGCCGCGTGAGCGAATCGTCGTCCGCCAGCTGGCACATGCGGCCGAAGATGATGCCTGGGAGCATGCAGCCCAACACCTAAGTGGATGGGAGAGGTCGGGGAGAACGGAGGGGAAAATGGAGGGGAGAAAGGAGGGGAGAAGGGAGGGGAGATGGTGGGGAGAGGGGACAGGGTGGGCCGAAGGGAGGGGAGAGGTTGGGGAGAAGGAGGGTGCCCGGCGGCAAGATGGAGAGTGGATTGATGGTGGGAGGCGGAACATGTGAAGGGGAAGTGAAGGGAAGCAACCAACCAATAGGCATATTGGGCTTGTCAAATCAAACAAAAAGAGGGAGCAGCGGGCACACCTGGGAGCGTTTGAGGCCGGTGATGCTCTCCATGGCTGGGTTCCACTCCGTGCAGAAGCCAGATGCTGGCAGGCAGAGGGGTGGGGCGGCAAGGGGCATGGACGATGGAGGGAGGGATCAGACGCTTGAATTGGGAAACGGAGGGAAGGGAAGGGCCAGTGATGCTCTCTCCCATGGCTGGGTTTCACTCGGTGCAGAAGCCAGACGCTGGAAGAGGGGTGGGGAGGGACGAGGGGGGGGGAGGGGAGGGATAGAGGGTGGAAAGGTGCAGCATGGGTGGTAGAAGGGTGGGATGAGACGCTTGACTTGGGAAGCGGAGGGAGAAAAGGGGCCAGTGATGCTCTCCATTGCTGGATTCCACTCCGTGCAGAAGCCAGATGCTGGCAGAGGGGTGGGGTGGCAGGGCAGGGGAATCTACGAAATGAATGGTGAAACGAATGGAAGCATTCAGCTGGTGATGCTCTGCTCTCTCCATGGCTGGTTTTCCACCACTCGGTGCAGAAGCCAGATGCTGGGAGTGGGGTGGGGTGGTAGAAGGGTGGGCGGAGCATGGGCCGTAAAGGGAGGAACTAGACACTTGAATTGGGAAGCGGAGGGAAAAGCGGGGCCAGTGATGCTCTCCATGGCTGGGTTTCACTCGGTGCAGAAGCCAGATGCTGGGGTTGGGATGGGTTGAGAAGGGCACGGGTTCAGAAGGGCATGGGCGGTAAATGGGTGGGTGGACAGCAACGGGAAAAGGGATGACATGACAGCAGGGGCATGCGCGGGGGAGAGATGGGATATGAGAGGGGCAAAAGGGAAAGGGTAGGTGTTGAGGTCTGCTGGGAAGGAAAGAGGGAAAAGCGGAGGCTGGGTGGGTGATGTCTGTCTGGTGAGCAAAGTAAGAATGAATGACACGACTCACTAGGGGCCGCAAAGATGGGCGGCAAGCTGACTCACCAGAGGTCTCCCCAGAGGTCTCCCCAGAGGTCTCCCCAGAGATGGGCGGTCGAAGCTGGCCGGCAGAGCGACTCACCGTTGGTGGCAAAGATGGGTGGCATGAGGGAGTTGTGCGTGTTGATGATGGTGGTGAAGTCGCCTTTTGAGGTACCTCAAAACACACCATCGGTTTCAACGATGGGCGGCAAACTGACCCACCGTTGGTGGCAAAGATGGGCGGCAAACTGACTCACCGTTGGTAGCAAAGATGGGCGGCAAACTGACTCACCATTGGTAGCAAAGATGGGCGGCAAACTGACTCACCATTGGTAGCAAAGATGGGCGGCAAACTGACTCACCATTGGTAGCAAAGATGGGCGGCAAACTGACTCACCATTGGTAGCAAAGATGGGCGGCAAACTGACTCACCGTTGGTGGCAAAGATGGGCGGCATGAGGGAGTTGCGGGTGTTGATGATGGTGGTGAAGTCGCCTTTTGAGGTACCTCAAAACACACCATCGGTTTCAACGATGGGCGGCAAACTGACCCACCATTGGTAGCAAAGATGGGCGGCATGAGGGAGTTGTGCGTGTTGATGATGGTGGTGAAGTCGCCCTGAATGCGCACAAATCGCGTCCTGACAGCTGTCTCCTCCGTCACGTCCTGCCCCACGAAGCACACCCCCACGATGCTCTTCTCCGAGTCCCGGCTCACAAACGTGTTCACCTGTGGAAGGCACAGCCAGGGGTGGAAACCGGTGCAGTGCGGTACGGTGAGTTAAGTGAGGGGTGCAGTGCGGTGGGTGGGGGATGATAAGTGGAGGGTTGGGGGGGAAGGGAGATGCCCTGACAATCACGTCCTGCCCCACGATGCTCTTCTCCGAGTCCCGGCTCACAAACGTGTTCACCTGCAAAGGAGTGGGATGGGATATGGTGGGGTAGCGTGGGTAGGGTGGGGTGGCGCGGGGTTGGGTGGGGTGGGGTGCGGTAGAATGGGGTGCCGTGGGCTGGTGGTTTGAAGAGGCATTACATTACATCCTGCAAGATGGATGGCGTGGGGAGTGAAGTTTATCATAACAAAGCCGCATGAATTGGAACAATTGAATTGAGGCTTATAAACGACTCAGTGCACTCACGTGCAGGATGGCGTAGGGCGGCGTAGGAGGCCCCTTGCCCTGGGGAACTGTTTTATCAAAACAGATGCTGCCACTCAAAGACATGCCACTCCAGTGCACTCACGTGCAGGATGGCGTAGGGCGTGGGAGGCCCCTTGCCCTGGGGAACTGACCCCCACCGCTTCAGCTTCAGCTCCAGCTGCTGCTGCTCCTCCCCTGCACGTGCATGTGCATGTGCATGTGAAACGAATATTGATGAGTGATATTCTTAGGGGGTTTATCGTCCATCTGGCAGTCTTCCTCACAAAATTAGACTCTCACCCGAGATCAACAAGTTCACCATTTGCACGAGCACCAAAGACGATAAGGGAAGGGAGGAGGGCAGGGGAAGGGGTGGGAGGAAGGGGTGGGAGTGGGTCAGAGGATGTAGGAGGGTCAATGGACAAGAAAAGGATGGGGGGTTAGAAGGGAAGGTTGGGGGAGGGGGGCGGGGACGGGGGAAGGAGAGGGTGTGGGGGGGGGGGGAGGGAGGGGAGGATAACCAGCTAATCACTCATGTTCGTTTAGAATTCTAAAAAAACAGATTTGCTGCTCTCACCTGCCAGGGCGAGCTCAAACGCCATCCTCGTCTTGTCCACGCATGAGGGGTCGAGACACGTGTCGAGCAGCGATTGGCCGATGGCGTCGGAGAAGGAGAGCCCTGTGATGGCCGCCACCTTGCCGTTCCACCCCGTGATGTTGCCCTCCAGATCAACGGCCAGGATCGGCGCAGACGCCGTCTCGATCAGACGGACCAGCTCGTCCGCTGCCACTGCCAGCTCGCTGTTGTTCTGGGAAGGGGATAGCGGTGGAGAGGGGTGGAAAAGGGTGGAGTGGGGTGGAAAGGGGTGAAAAGGGGTGGAAAGGGGCAAAAATGGGTGGAAAACGGTGGAAAGGGGTGAAGGGGGGTGAAACCGGGGTGCTTGCTGCCACTGCCAGCCCGTTGTCGTCCCCTGCTCCAAAACGGCCTCACCTGCTCTCCAAGTTCACCTGCCCTCCCACCTCATCCGCCCCACCAGCTCAATCAACCCCCTCGCCCCTATGTGCTCACCTGCTTCAACAACCACCACACTCCCAGCTGCCAGCGCTCACCAGGCAGTTGAATTCAACAACCAGCAAACTCCCAGCTCCCAGCTCACCTGCTTGCCCAATGGAGATGAGGCGCCCCATGCTCTCCTTCCGCCTGACCGACTTGCATAGTAAATCCTGCAGGCTGTGAACGGCATCCACCTCCACGTCCGCCCACGGCAGCGCCGTGTGCCGCACCACCTCCAGGAACGCCTTGAACGACGCCCGCGGGTGCCGCCTCTTGGCGTCGTCCACGTCGCGCGAGTCGTGCCGCGCGCCGCTCCACTTGATCGACTTCTCCACGTGCGAGCGGAACCAGAACAGATAATCCCCCATGATGCCGCTCACACTGCTCACACCGCCGCTGAAGCCGCTGAAACTGCCGCCGCCGCCGCTGGTGCTGCTGCCGGATGGGGACGGGGGGACAGGCGACGCCGCCTCCCTCCCCTGCTGCCCCTGCCCCTGCTGCTGCCGCTCCTGCTGCTGCAGTTGCTCGTCGGCAGGAGAAAAGCACACGACCACCATCCCGCACACATCCACTCCGAGGCTCTCTGCGTGCGGGAACCCAGCGGCCTTCAAGCTATCCGTGCTCAGACCACTGGACCCCCAGTGTTCCCGCTGCACCCACCGCACAAGCTCTCCGATCATGTCCTCGGAGGGGCAGACTCCGAGGCGGGATAGCTCGCCCCGGAAGAGGACTGCTGCGCCGTCGCAGGGGAGGAGGTCCATGATGTTGGGCGCGGAGGAGACGAGCGCGCGGATGGGGTTGTCTGTCAGTAAAGTATCGCACAGGAGCGACTGGATCTGCAGGATCTGCTTTTCATGGAGTTGGGCGGCGATCTCGAGCTCCACTGAGAGTTGCAGGCCGAACGCCTGAGTGGAGGGGATGGGGAGGAAGGGGAAGGGGGAGGGAGGGGGTGGGAGGTCATCTCCTCTGAAGGGCACAGCACACCCCGAAGCGGCGGGAGAGCTCGCCGCGGAAGAGGACTGCTCCACCAGCGCAGGGGAGGAGGTCCATGATGTTGGGCGCGGAGGAGACGAGCGCACGGATGGGGTTGTCCGTGAGGAGCGTGTCGCAGAGTAGAGATTGGATTTGCAGGATCTGTTTCTCGTGCAGCTGGGCGGCTATCTCTAGCTCCACTGAGAGTTGGAGGCCGAATGCCTGTGTGGTGGAAGGTGGGGGAGGAAGGGGTTTGAGTTGAGAGGGGGGACATTAAAGGCGCTAGCTCCACTGACAGCTGGAGCCCAAACGCCTGGGGGGAAGGGGGGGGAGAGGGAGGGAGGGGGAGGGGAGAGGGGGAGGCGGAAGAGGGAGGAGGAAAAAGAGGGAGGTGGAGGAGGGAGAGGGAGAGGTTGAGGTTATTTTCATCTCCAGGTCAGCTGTTGTAGACCAAACACCTGGGCTGAAGCAGGAGGAGGCGGGGACACGGTAGGTTGGAAACAGGGGGAGTGTGAGTAGGGGGATAAATGGGTGGTGGGCGTCACAACATACTCATCATCAAACGGCCTCCCTATCCCCCTACCCTCCCCCTCACCTGCATGAGAAAGTCGCAGGCAGAGCGGATGGGAAAGGGCACCACTCGCGGGGACATGTGATGACACACCACCAGCCCCCACAGCCGCGCGCCCCCTCCCCCTCCCCCTCCCCCTGACACGCTCCCCCCGTCGTCCGACCGCATGTCCCACGAGTCCCCCCCTCCTCCTCCCCCTCCCCCCGCCTGACTCCCCCCGGACTGACTCCTTGCAAACTGCCCCCCGCCAGCCTGGCTCCCCCCATGCGCGCCCCCCCCTCCGCGCTCCCCCTGCCCCTGCGCGTTCCCCCCGCGCGTGGGCACGATAATCGCGAGCACATAAGACGCTCTAATCCCCATGTTACACATGTACTGCGCGTGGCACGGATCCACTGCTCGGAGGGTTGATCCCCCGAGCTTGAGCGCGTGCGGGGAGGAGAGCGGGTGCTGGCGGAGGGGCACGGAGGGGGACTGACAGTCCGCCACCATGCGCGAGCGCGTGTGGAAGAAGAGGAGACGGGTCGCCTGGGGTACGTCCGTTGCTGGGAAGTGGGAGCCTAGGATCGGCTGCATGCCTACCTCTCCCTCCCCCTCCTCCTCCTCCTCCGCTTCCTCCCCCTTCCCTTGCTCCCCTTGCCCCCCCTGCCCTTCCTGCTGCCTCCCCTGCTGCTCCCCCTGCTCCAACCCCCCCCCCTCCTCGCTCTCCTGCCCTCCCCGTTTCCCCGCTCCCCCCTTCCGCCCCTTCCGCATGTCCTCCGCCACCACCTCCCCATGCCCGTCCTCATGGAACTTATAAGCCACTACGCGGTCATACCCAGTCAGCTCCCTCACCTCCTCCACAACCACCTGGCACAGCGCGCTGATATTCCCTGGCGCCACCTTCTGCAGCCGCTTCACCGCCGAGAGGGCTAGACGGTGGGTGAGAGGCGCGCCTGCCCCGTCCACTGCCGGGTCGAGAGGTGTAATCGGCTCTAGATCGATGCTTATGATGTTGTCTCCTGGGTTGGTGGTGGTAGCAGCTGTGGGGTTAAGGGCACTGGTGGTGGTGGCAGCAGGGGGTATGAGTGCAGGAGCGGCGACAGGCGAGGAAGGAGTGTTGGTACCCGGGAGCGTGATGATGCTGCTGCTGGTAAGGCTGGTGGGGATAATGCTGCTGCTACCACTGGTGCTGCTGCTGGTGGTGCTGGCAGCAGCGGTGGTTTCGGCATCGTCAGCGGCGGCGGAGGTGCGGTGGAGCACGGCGTAGAAGGGGCGGTTGGAGGTGCGGCACTGCAGCAGCACGGGGTTCATGGACGCTATGTCGTCTGCTGTCGCGGCCTTCTCTAATGCCTCCACGCTCTCCGGGGTGAACAGCGCCCGCACATCCATTCCCAAGGCTGGGGGGAAGGAGGAGGATGGGGGGGATGGGGAGCATGGGAAAAGGGAGAGGGGAGAAGGGGATAGGGGACGTGGTTGGAGGTGCGGCACTGCAGCAGCACGGGGTTCATGGACGCTATGTTGTCTGCTGCCGCGGCTTTTTCCAATGCCTCTACGCTCTCCGGGGTGAACAGGCTCCGAACGTCCATTCCCAAGGCTGCAGGGGGGGTCAGAGGGAGGGGGAGGGGGCAGGGAAAGGGGGTAGAGCAGAAGGGGCGGTTGGAGGAGCGGCACTGCAGCAGCACGGGGTTCATGGACGCTATGTCCTCTACTGCCAGTGCCTTCTCAAGCGCCTCCACGCTTTCTGGGGTGAAAAGGCTCCAAACATCCATTCCCAAGGCTGCGGTGGAGACAGAGGGAGGGGGAGGGGGCAGGGAAAGGGGATGGAGTAAAAGGGCTGGTTAGAAAGGCGGCACTGCAGGAGCACTGGGTTCATGGACGCTATGTCGTCTGCTGCCACTGCTTTTTCCAATGCTTCTACGCTCTCCGGGGTGAATAGGCTTCGCACATCCATTCCCAAGGCTGGAGGGGAGACAGAGGGAGGGAGAAAGGAGAGGCAGAGGGGCGCAGGGCAAGGGGAGGGCGTAAGAGGGGTGCGGTTGGGTTGGAGTGGCGGCGGCACTGCAACAGCAGGGGTTCATGAACGCTATGCTGAGGCAGAGAATGCTGGAAGGATGCTGCACGAAGGGGGGGGAGGGGGGGGGGGGGAGGAGGGAGAGCATTGCTCATGCGCTTCCTCTACCTGCAACAACGCCCAAACCTATCAGCACCACTCCTGACACCTGTCAACCGACGCACTCACCTATTTTCGTCTGTGGAAGAGGAGCAACAGCATCTTGCGCCTCTTCCCCCGGCGCCCCAGCGGAAACGCCTTCCCCCAGCGGCCTAACTGCGGCCTCCTCCAGTCCGCGCCCCACAACAATGGCGCTGTCACTCACACTCGCTCCACCTCCCCCTCCCCCTGCGCCTCCGCCTCCGCCCCCGCCTGCGCCTCCGTCTCTCTGCGCGCCTGCATCCCCCCACCCGCCACTAGCACTGCTTCCTCTCCCCGCGCCCGCGTCCCCCGCCCGCGCGTCACTGCTTGCCCTCCCCGCCGCGCCAGCAGCCGCGGGCGCGGATGACACGGGGGCGGCGGAGTCCGCGGAGAGGCGGCGGGTTCTCCTGGCGCCCTTGGCGCGGCCGCGGCTGTTGGAGCGGAAGATCGCCCAGCGGATGCGCTCCAGAAAGTTCAGCGCTGGAAGGATTCAGGGAAGGGGGGAAGGGGGGAAGAGGGGGAAAAGGGGGAAGGGGGGGAAGAGGGGGGTAGGGGGGGAAAGGGGGCAAAAGGGGGAAGGGAGGGGACAGCGGATGCGCTTCAGGAAAGTCAGCGCTGGAAGGATTGCGGGAGGGGGGGGGAAGGGGGGACGGGGTAGACAAGGTGGAGAAAGGGGGGAGAAGGAAAAGGGGAGGGGGAGAGGAGGAGGTGAAGGGGCAAGGGGGAAGGTGAGGGAGGGGACAGGCAGGAGGCGGGGTGGCAGGGAGAACCGGGTGGGGAAGAGGGAGGTGGAGGAGGGATGGGGAGTCGTGCGATTGGGAGAGGTGGTCATGGCGGAAGGTACGGGATGGAGCAGCGGAACTCACTCATCCACATGCCGCTGCCGTCAGGAGAAGATGAGGGGGAATGCAGGGGGTGGGGATGATTAGGGCGGGTAGGGCGGGTCAGGAGGGGGAGGTAAGGGGAAAAGAGGGACGGAAGGAGGGGACGGGAGGGGGAGGGACGGGAGGGACGAGAGGGAGTAAGGTGGGGGGAAGGGAAAGGGGGAGGGGGAGGGGGAGCGGGGGGTGAAAGGAGGGGGGCACTACGTTTGAACAGTGTGCTCCCTTCGGACGCCATCTTAACCAGCCGTCTTCTCTCGCCGCCGCCCGCCGCCGCTCCGCCCGCCGCAGTTCCCGCTTCGCCCCTCCGGATCGCTTCCGCCGTCGGCGCCAACTCGGCCCCTTCCGGAATCGTCTGCGACCGTCCGATCATCGCCGCCGCTGTCGCAGATCCCGCTCCGCCCATGCCCGCATCTCCAGCGCCCGCGGCGCCGGCGCCCGCGCCGGTCGCCGCCAATAACGGCGGCTTTGCCGCCGCCGGGGCCGGCGGAGACTCATTCAGGATCATCTGGCCGGCATTCTCGCTGAATGCGACAAGATCGAAGCTTCTCCCGTCGCCAGGAATCGCGAGCAAGCAGCCGAAGTTCTGCACGAGGCCGGGCCGCTGGATGCGGTGCAGGTACGACGAGACCGCGGCGCGACTCGCGGAGGGCTTCGCGCCGCCCGCGGCGTGCACGAGGTCGACGGAGCGCCGCGAGCTGCGGAAGGTGACGCCGCCAGTGGAGGCCCAGAGGCGCGCGGCGGCCACAAAGGACGAGTCCATGTCCGCCGCCGCCATTTTTACGACGACGGTGCTGCGCGCAGCGAGTGGCTTGAGTGGTCAGACAGCCAAAATGTCTTCAACTGAGTGGCGTCGGGCGGTGTCTGGTTACTTTGTTGTGACCATGAGTGTAGTGGCAGGAATGTAGTAGGCACGTGAAGAATGTAGGCTCGTGCGTAACGTAGGAGGCTCGTGCTAGGAAGCGTACCCCTCAGCTCCCCACAATCAAGCGGGTCGCTACTAGATACCGGAACGCATCAGCGGGAGGTGAGGAACTTCCGTAGAACGTAACGATTACGCGCTGGAATTCGATGTAGCAGCAAGGCACGGAATGACATCACGACCCGATCGAGCAATTCTTGATCGGCGGATAGTAGTTGACCGGATGTGGCCTGTCAGACTTTAGCTGAGAAGCATGGAGCTAATTGACATGCGCAAAAAGTCTCACTAATTTCCGAATATGTCCTTGGTTAGAGCGGATTTAATCTCGGCAATCACGAAAAACGCCGCTTATTCCCCTTGCCGTCACCTTCATACATTGCATCCAGCCAGACGCGTGAGAAACGCCTGCGGCCTAAAGACAGGCAGAGCGATCGGCACGTCAGCCACTGTACCGTCACGACAACTGCATGCGATTGCTTTTCGCTGCAGATCAAGGTGATTTAGATAAGTTGGACGGTTGGAAGAGTCAGAGCTGATCGGAATGCACCTAGACGGAATCCGTGAATTATCGTAGAACAATGGATAAAATAACAAGAACAGAGGGTGGTGGGGTGGGGGGGGAGAGCCACCATTCTCGCAGATTCTGTCTACCGTACGACAGTCACAAGGCTCGAGCAAAAAGGTGGAGCAGAGGAGGATGGGAAATATCGCGATTTGGAGTGCCAGTAGGATGGAAAGGCCGATATGCTCAGCTGACGCCATGAGGGGAGGGAGAGGGAGAATGGTGTCTGGGAGTCTGGTCTGGTCTGGTCTGACTAGGGGAGTTGGATTGAGGATAAATTCGGGGCAACAGGATTCATGCTAGACGACAGGAGTTCCTCCCCCTGGCTTTGAACTTTCAGCAAGACGACATTTTCTGGCTTTTGGATTTGTACACATCGTTCATCGGAGGGCCGACATACTTGAGCTGCCTTCATTTGACGGTTGGGATGAATGAATGCTAGCGCCCACTTCGCGCTGCACATTTTCCATTGCTGCTTCCCGATTAACCAATTCCTCATTCCCCAAAACCTGGCTAAAACAACGAGGTTGATTGTGGCCATTCTCCAGAAAGAAAAGGTGGATCTATTCCTATGCGTCTGCTAACATCGAGGAGCCAACACCCGACGAACCTGTCTCAAATGGCCAATGCCTGCCACTGTCGTTGTGTACAGCTAAATGTACCCCAAAAAATGCAAAACCCATTCACACCAAGCCAGTCCTCTTCTCAAGGTTCCTACAAATTCAGAACAACTTGACAGTTTCGCATCGCGTGCGGTTGTATTCTCCTCCAGATCAGCCAATAAGCAAGCAACTTTTGGATGCTAGTGTGGTGACGTGAAGCAAGCACTAGTGCTGTTCCCACGTCAGGAGTGTCAAGGTACACGTACGCAAGGTTCTCCGTAGCTGAGATGGCGAATCATGGCTGGGCATTGAGATTGTGGGGAGATTTGCGGCACGAGCAAGGGCATGGAACATCAGCCATTTGAATGCTCCAATATACATTATAGGCAAATTATGCTTATAAACACTTATAGACTATGGCTTATGGAGTTTGAAGTAACCGTTGCACATCGAGATCCTTTGAGGTAGTAAAAAACACAGATTTACTTCCACTGTATTATCATCAATCTTTTTCAACCACATACGCAAAAACTGGTATTTTATATATGCATAAAAAAACATTACGCAATCTTGCACGTTAATCTCAAGAAACGTGCACAACGGAATGATTGAAATAGGGAAGCAAGGGATACAGATAGCAACCCTAAAATTTTTGTACTCCCTATAGTGCTACTCACTATAGCCTAAGAACCTATAACAACATTTGACACACCCCCATAGGCTAAGTGAGGGGCATCAAAGCAAGCAGGGTGAACAAACGGTCATAAGACCAGTCAATGCAAGAAGCAAAGCAAGCTCAGGGTGGATCTCAAGGACACCACACAAATTCCGAGCACAAGCAAGCGGCCACAAGGCCAGTTCAAGAGTTCACTATGATATATATAGCAAAGCACAACAAGCAGGGCAAACAGTAAGTCTACAGCAACCGAGGGCCTACCTCAACAAGCCCCAACTGCACACAGAACCTGTGGTGGTCTCCAGGCGCCAAGGCCTTGGTGAAGACGTCGGCAGTGTTGGCCTCTGAGGCCACAAAGTCCAAACCTGCCTGGCCGCGTCGCTGCAACTCTCGCAGGAGGAAGTACCTCACGTCAATATGCTTCACTCTGCTCTCCAGTCGAGGCTCTCGACACAGGAGGATCATGACTTTGTTGTCAGCGTACAAGGTCGTTGCAGAGCGAGGCCGCTCACCAAGGTCGGCGAGCAAGAAGGTCAACCAGCGAAGCTCCTGTGCCGCCATGGCACCAGCGTAGATCTCTGCCTCTGCACTGGACGAAGCCACAGACGACGACCGTGTAGACCTCCACAACATAGCACCAGCACCCAGACTGAAGCAGTAACCCTGAGTCGAGCGCTGAGTCTCCACGTCGTCAGCGTAGGAAGAGTCGCAGTGACCGGTCAACACAACTGGCTGTGTCCCTCCAAGCACAAGCCCCATGCCTGATGTAGTCGCCAGGTACTTCACCACCCTCACAGCAGCTGTCCAGTGAACTGGACGGTGTCTCCCAGTCGCAACAAAGCGAGAGAGGACGCTGAGGGGAAAGGCGAGGTCCGGCCGAGTACAAGTCATCAGATACATGAGGCAGCCCACAAGCTCTGCGTAGGGGCCACTAGACTCAAAGGGCTCGTCGGGAAAAGGGCCAGTGAGTCGGTGGTCAACGGCAAGAGGAATGGGCTGTGTGGTGGAGAACTGAAACCCGAACCGCCGAAGGACCTGCTGCACCATGTGTGACTAAGTCAGTGTGATGGTGCGAGCGGCTCTGTCACTGGTGATCTGCAGGCCAAAGTAGCGCTGCAGTTCACCGAGGTCAGTGCACTTGTGTCTCTTCTGCTATTCGGATTTCACCTCAGTCAGAGCTGCCCTGTCTGCTGTAGCAAAGACCAATGCGTCGACGTACACTAGTAAAAAGAAAGGAGTGGAACCAGTGCGAACAAACAGCGACGGGTCGGCAGAAGAAGGACGAAACCCAAGGTCACGAAGCGTGGAGCGAAGAGTGTCGTGCCACTCACGGGGCGACTGGCGGAGACTGTAGACTGGCTGCCTCAGGCTCCACTGGGTCCCAGGTGGGAAGGTGTCAGTGAATCCAGGAGGACGGCGCAGCCAGATCTCCTCGTGTAGTCGGCCCTGGAGAAACGCAGTGGAGAAGTCAAGGGAGTGCAGCTCGTAGTCTCGCGGTGCTGCTATGTGCAGTAACACCCAAAGAGTAGTCATCTTCGGGGTCGGGGCGAAGGTCTGGAAGAAGTCAACTCCCTCACGCTGACTAAAACCCCTAGCCACGTAGCGCGCCTTGAACACAGGCGGTGAACCAGGAGGCCGCTTCACCTTAAAGAGCCACATGCCATCGACAACGTTCGCACTGGGAGGGGGAACTGTGTCGACGTACGTGCCTGTGAATCTCCAAGACGCTAACTCTGCATCCATAGCCGCTTTCCACTGAGAGACCCACTTCCCTGACACTGCCTTACGGTACGTGCGAGGTGTCGGTATGTCAAGGGCGCCGGGGTCTCCCTCAAGGGAAAGCAGCATGGCGCAGAGAGAGGGGGAAGCGGCTGCTAAGAACTCCTGCTCAAACTGCATGTCCCTCAAGGACGTCACAGCCAAGGGCAGACTCACCCCCGACGGACAGAGGACGGGGAGGTGGAGCAGCAAAGTCAGCGACAGCGGCAGTAAGAGTCGAGACAGACGACGGAGAGGCACGAGGGTCGGTGACAAGAGAGGCGAGAACACGAGAGACAACAGGGCGAGCAGCAGGGTAGTAGTCAGTGATAGGGTGAGAGGAAACGGTGAGAGACGACTCACGAGGTGAGGGGAGAACATACACAGGCGGAGAACGACAAGGAGGAGAATGAAACAAGACGGTGCAGAGGTCGGCAAGAGGAGACGAGGGCCGAACACGTGGAGGACAACGAGTGGTCCAGTTGTGCCGGACAACAGGAGGAGGCGACTGTGACTGAGGAGGAGAGAAAACAGCCGGAGTCGATTCCGGAGGAGGAAACGTAGGACCGTACGCTGTAGGAGACTGTGAGTGAGCAGGAGGAGAAGAAGGAAGACCAAGGCCCGAAGGCCAATGCTGCTGCAAAAGTGGCGGTTGCGGCGGCTGCTGTTGCTGCTGCTGCTGCTGCTGCGGCTGCTGCTGCTGCTGCTGCTGCTGCTGCTGCTGGTCCAACTGCTGCAACTCCTGCCTCTCCTGTTCCAACTGCTCCTGCTCCTCGCGCTCAAGCCGGCGAAGGGCCTGGAAACGGGTGTCGTGGCAGTGGGGAGGCGCAGTGGGCGACGCAGTAGGCGAGCCTCCAGCTCCCGTCTCCTCAGTACCAGCTCCTACAGCGCCAGCACCTCCTGCTCCAGCACCCCCAGAACTAGCACCGCCAGTGCCACCACCTCCAGCTCCAGCACCCCCAGAACTAGCACCTCCAGTGCCAGCACCTCCAGCTCTAGCACCCCCATAACTAGCACCTCCAATGCCAGAACCTCCAGCTCCAGCACCCCCAGAGCTAGCGCCACCTTCGCCAGCACCTCCAGCTCCAGCACCCCTCAAACGAGCACCCCCAGACCGAGTACCGCCAGCGGCTGCACCTCCAGCTCCAACACCAACCGAGTCCACAGTAACCTGTCGCGGAAGTGCCGAAGGCTGCTGAGGGGACTGTGAGGAGGACTGCGGGGAAGGAGACGCTACCTGACGCGCGACCGAGGGTAG